GATATCCGAAAGACTTGTAAATCTTTACTTCGATGTAAAATTAAACCTAATATTAAATCGCTGAAAAGATATGCACTTAGTCAAATCGAATCTCTTCAATCGTATATTGTTGAGTTAGAAAGGGATATTACACAGAGATTATATGCTGTTGAAGATCTTTCCCAAACCTTAAAGGATTCATTTATGACTTATGTCCTCGAAGTGCAAAGAACAAGGGAAAACAAAAAAAGAGTCGACCTAATCAAAGGACTAGACAAACAGATATTTAAACCGGATTTTCCAGACGACTGTAAGCGGTATGTTTTTAACTTTTCCTCTGTTAATCTTCATAGGACTCAACTAGAAGTGTTATCATTAGGTCCTAAGTTTTGTGATAGTTGTAGACATGTGGATCATTTGAAGACTGATGTTCAGTTCGAGAATCTTTTTACCCAGACACAAGACTTAAAGCCCACGACAAAGGTCGAACATGAACGATTCAAAACCACGCTGGTTGATTGCTGTAACCAATTTAAAAGCAACAACCATTACACAAATAGTATATTGACAGATAAACATCGTGAGGCTATCCGGAAACTCAAGTTGAATGAACACATTATTATCACTAAACATGATAAAGGATCGGGCACTGTAATTCTAAACAAGACAGATTACATAGATAAGATGAATTCCCTACTGAGTGATCAAACCAAATCCCAAAAGCTTGGGTCATGTAAAGACCGAACGTCAACTAACTGCAGCATTAAAATTTTTAAAACAACATCAATACACCAATGAGCATACCTATAATGCGCTCAAGCCTTCGGGAACACATAAACCTCGACTATATGGTCTACCTAAGATTCATAAACCGGATGTTCCTTTACGCCCGATACTGGATATGGCAAACTCACCATACCATTCAACACCATTGCACCAAGAACTGGTTAAGCATAGTGTTAAAGACGTCTTTGAATTTGTGGATACAATTAAAAATATGAATATAAATGGCAAAACCATGTTATCACTAGACATAACATCCCTCTGACTGAAACTATCGACTACATATGTGAACAATTGCTAGAAAAGAAAATAGAGATACCGATCCCAGCAAGTAAAATGAAAGAACTTCTATTGAAATGCACTATGAATATCTACTTTAAGTTTAACAATGCATTTTCCAGACAAGTAGATGGGGTAGCAATGGGATCACCTCTAGGCCCGATCCTTGCTAATATTTTTCTGACCAAACTAGAAAATGGACCGCTTAAAGAAGTCCTAAGTAAGCTTGATTATTACTGTCGAGATACGTAGATGACACAATAATCATATGTGACGAAAATATCGACAAACAGGAGATGTTGGACTCTTTCAATAATGTCCACTCAGCCATTAAATTCACCAGCGAAGAGGAGAAAGACAATAGTATAGCTTTTCTGGATGTCCTACTTTCTAGAAGGACAGACGGTTCCATAAAGCGAAATGTATTTAGAAAGAGTACATGGACGGGTCAGTATACCCATTTCCAAAGCTTCACACCTCTTCAATATAAAATAAATTTGGTTAAATGTCTCAACCACAGAATCAAGTTATTATGTTCTGAAGACAGTGTGGATGACGAAATAGATATACTAAAGAACACATTACGAAATAATGGTTATCCTGATAATTTCGTTTAAAAATATTTCGTACAAAGTACTAAAAAAGAATAAATTGTGACACAGTCAGTAAAAAGACCTTATATCTAAGAATAGACTTTAAAGGGAACATAGCGGGTGATATTTTAAGACGTCGACTCAAAAGATCTGTCGAAAGGACGTTTCACGCCGCCAAGCTACACATCATTTTCTCAACTAAACCAGTACTCACACACCTAATTAAGGATAGGTTACCGAAGATGGGCTCTTCCATGTGCTCCTGTGGAGCTAGTTACATAGGCCGTACTCAGAGGGCTTTACCCTTGCGTGTTCGTGAACATGTACCAGCTTGGTTGGGAAAAGGAGTTACCAAATCAATTAACAGCACCATTCTTTCTCACTTGGTAGATAGTGAACATCATATCAAAATAGAGGAAGCTTTCTCTGTTTTATATCAAGTTCCAAAATATCTACCTCACGAAGCTAGATTACGACTGCTTTACATACCCGAAGCCATCTGGATCAACTCCAGGAGACCAAATTTATGTATCCAGAAAAAATATATCCAGCCTCTTTGTTTACCTTGGCCTACGACTGGATCACCAAATACCTGGACTGAATATTATAAACCTCTTACCCCCTTCCTCTATATTTTTTGATTTAATTTTTTTCCTTATTATCATTATTTTTTATTATCTCTATCTTAATCTTCACATCCATCATTCCCAATTCGTTGATCTTAATTACCTTGATAACACCCTCCTTATTACATATTATATATCTCAATTGACAAGATCAAATTCTCCTACTATGCATTTTATCCACACAATTTTTTTTTGCATTTTCATTTTTGCTATAATACTATTCTCTACTTATTGTGACTGAACACTTTACTGTAAATCATCCTGACCTTTCTAATTTGTCAAATATTACAATTTTGAAGTATATATATATCGTAACAGATGCAAACGTTTACCATTTTTAACATATAACATTGTTAAATTCATTAATACATGCCTTAATTTTAGCCTTTGTAAACTATTATAATTATGGACTTATAACTGTAGAGCCTGATGATGAAGTTATTGAAAACAATTGTTTACTCAAATATTCTTTATTTTTGAAATCACTTATTTGGCAGAACATTTCTAATATTTGAGACTTAATGAAATGATATATGTTACTTGTGTCACATTATCAACTGATACTAGTGATAATACCAAGTGCAGGATTTCTGTATACAGGCATCATTTTCTAGGGCGTTCTGTTGACCTCGTGCTAATTGTTTTTACAGTAGTTGAGAAACTGTGGCTCCTAGTAGGACTCATACTCACATTATCCAGTGCTATAATTGCAGAGACGTTATCATATCATTGAACTCTGCATTAATCTACTACACGACTGAGAATGTTTTAGTCATTGATCATTAACAGTAAATAATGTCATATTTTCTAATCATTGGTTCTAATCAACTTCTACTCATTAAGTTACAACTCGAAATGATATTGGCTAATATTAAATGATCAATTAAAAAGATATCAAGTACTTGTGAGTCGGAAAGAAACGAGATTCAGTTAATTTTATATTTTTACTCAATCTGTTCATCAAAAGAAACTTAACCACGCTATACTTTACCTATAATCATGAAAACCGAAATGACAGACACTTTAGTTAAACTAATGATAAATGTTGACAAATGTTTCAAGAAATGACTAGTATAGGTTGTACGTAAAACATTAAAATTATTTTAACTAATATAAAATTGGTAAATACTATCGACCGATATTTTGGACTTTATATATGTTACATAAATTACAATTCGAACAGTGTATTCAACAAGAGATGAAATTATCTTACATTAGCGATCAAGCGCTGTCGAAAAGTAATATAAAATTACAATGATTATCCTAGTCCCTTTTTTATCAGTCCAATAGTGTCTAGCAGCGGAATGTATGATGGGTGTTTCGTTCTAACTGGAAATTGTCAAGTGTATATACCCGGATCTCAAGGCTCGAACCCAGTACCTTCCGCTTAAAAATAAAACTATTCTAAACATTTAATCAAACCGTATACTTCGAATTAGTGAAAACTTAAAAGCTAAAACCAAATGGCGCAAGTGAAAAAACTTTAAGAATTTGTAGATGAACAGAATAAATATTAACTCACCGGGCTTATATCATACTAATTTTGTTTTCAATTTTAGTCTCACTTAAACCATCAGTAAGTATTAGCAATGTATATTAAGATGAACGTTTTGAGGACCAAGCATAAGCAGAAAATAATTTTTGATAAACAGTCTCAGAACTAATGAGGGTCAAATGATACTGAACAGCTGATTTGTTTTGGTTTGAGACTACTCGGCAGTCCATTCATAATATCACAACGAGTTGGATAACATTAAATATTGAAGTTAGTATTTCATGGTCTCCATTTTCAACTTAAGTCAATTTGATCTGATCTTTACTCAGTCTCATTGATGGCTTACTGAATTATGAGGTACATTTGACTTAATTCACACCTCCGTTTCCACTCTATGATGATAAAATAATTTTCATAAGAATTTTAGACATTTTAAGAGCCATTCCACAATTTTGTGTAATTCAAAGTGAGACTCAATAATTTTTGAATTTCGTAGAAAAAAGCTGAAAGCCAATTCATCAATCGACCGTTGTACTTTTAAGATGTTGTATGTAATATAAAGTCAAATCTGTATGATGCCAATTCAATTTATTACCTAAATTTTCTTTTTTACTAACTAAATTCAAATTTACTAAAAGACTTAATTGAATGAAAATATAATCTATTTGTTTATTTGTTTAGATGTAAGCAATAGTTTATACGGTGTAAATATATCTTCATCAACTATTACGTCATCAGCGCCAGATTGTTACGCATTAAATGATTTATCTTATTCGTTACACCAACCGCAACATGTTGGATTTACTACTTGTCGTAATAAAATTAATCCTGCACTGCATGAAATACCAACAGTTACAATGAACCTTTACAATACTACTGATAATAAAAGTAGCATTAGTAAGAGTTATGACAAACATTTTGTGAATTTATGGAATATGGACTCACCAACGGTTATTGGACAAACAACAAACTCACTTGAAACAAAATATCCAACTCAATATTCTCATTAGGGATAGAATCGGGATATACAATCAAAACCATACTGAGAAAATACAAAATTTAATTGATTAATCGGCTCTACGACAATAATAATAAGACAATAATAGCTTAACTTATCAGTTGTTTCTGAAAAACTACTGCATTACAACTGTGTGCTGAATTCATATTCATATGGATTTACAATAAATAACTTGAGGTAATAGACTACATATTTCGTTTCCATAAATAATATGTAATTTAAAATTTCAGAAAATAAATTTGTATTTATTGGCGAATTAATAACACTTGAATTTTATGCAGTAAACATAAATTATTCATTTATATTTACGAAAGGAAATCGTGGAGTATAAACTGAAGATGGGACTTTGTGGTCAGAGAGTTCAACGCCCATCTCTTAGGTAGTTTCACAAACTGCAGTTCAATAGTTGGGTAGTATCACTAATCACCAAACTATTTGTGTGGCCAAAAGTTTAGTACATAAACTTGTACTTAGTAAATAAAATACATCTCATAGCAATTATATGGATTGTTTCTAAATCTGGTTTTAAGAGCTTTTAGAGTAAATAACAAAATGATTGAAATGTAATGGATCTGTAGTTCAGTAGGATATTTTGGTGATGTGTTATGTGAGCTAAACGAAATTACCAACCCTTCTTCCGGAAAGGAGTGACTTTACTTCAAGTGTCTCAGTTCATTTGATGACATGAATTGTGGTGGACAACCCGCACAGACTCCGTCATGCATTGGTCTTTCCATTCTAATTGATTTTATTAGGATGAACAAGAGACTGATTCACCACTATCATGTACATTAACGAATTAAATATCGATATGTCTACTGATTGCGGATTGAACTAAATACCATGCTGTAGCATGATTTGAGTTTTCTGTATTCCCAATCCCGGCAATGTCTAGAAAAATAGTTATTCCGTAATTGAGCGCATTTCATATGATTATACTTTCATACAACGTCATTTTTGGTACATGGTAGCACAAAAATCTCCTTATACCAGTAACTGGTGGCTTAAACACTAACTGGAGTATGTGACGGTTTACTATACTCGTGTGAGAAAATTGAGTCAAGTTATGAGTATATTCTATTAAACATCTTTCTTTTTGCATATCCTCTCAGAGAAATGTATAGATACTTAGAATTCATAAACACAAATAAAAATGCAATCGCTTTCTGAAATGGATATATACTTGTACGTAGCTAATTCATTGATATGTACATGTTTGCAGCACTCTCTAAAGGATCGACTTCAAAATAAGTTGATTGCAGACAAACCATACAGATAAAATTTTGTAAAAAAAAAGAATGAACAAGTCATTTTCCTATACTTGTAGTAGATAATAGGAATATATGGCAGAATTCTCATAGCGTTATTGTTCTATAATAAAAATGTACAAATATATTTCAAAATATTAAAAAAAGAGAATATGATACCCATGTAATCACAGGGAAGAAAACAACATCTGAGTTGATCAAACACTATGAATATCTTCAGAAATAAAGTACATCTTTTCATATAACTTTAGATATATTGTTGATATAAACCAGTTGAAAAGTAATAGCAATACATAGAATTAAAAGTGGAAAAATTAAAATTTTATGACGAATTGGTAACAAATTATTATTGGTTGACATAGTCACCTGGTTGTTGATTATTTTTCTTTGAGAAAAATAATTTGAAAGTGAACGAGGAGGCAAAAGAATTTGAGCATGTAGAAGATGTTTTTTAGATATTTGATTAGAATTATCTTGACGAGCAATTTGAGCAGCATGTTGAACTACTTGGACAACTTCTGCTCCTGTATAATTATTCAATTGATTTGTAGCGAATAAATTTAACCATTTAGAATTTAATAATGATTTATCTTTTAGTGCACGTTTTGATAATTCTAAACGTAGAATATCTGTCCGAGCTTCTGCATCAGGTGGTGATACTTCAATGACTAAATCAAAACGACCAGCGCGACTTAATGCCTGGGAGAAAAGCATAAAAAGTTATTTCTAGTAAGTTGAAGATAATCAACAAAGAATAATTGTAATTCTTTTTGCAAACAGATGTGAAAATACGTACGAATGCAGAAAATAAATCACTGAACCTAATTTAAGAATAATTCGATTCAGTTGGCCACGACTTACGTATGTCCAGTGAAAGAGGAAGTGATCAAGAGATAATGTAATCGAATCGAGGTAATGACATCAACTGGAGTGAACGGTATACAACTGGTTTGAATAACGTAGAGCAGTAGACCTAGAGGTTACGGTGTTTAACTTCCAGCCACCAAGAACCTGGTCTAAACCCCCGTCCACCTACTTCGGTTTAGGCAAACTGATGTCATCATTAGCTCTCATACTTAGAGTGTCGCTTATATCCAGGTACATGATGAATGAGTTAATTTTCAACCGAATTCCAACTATATATATATTACAATTATTCCAAACCTCAACAAAGAATTCTACATTCCCCAGCACGACAGATCAATATTGGCCGATCGCTTCATGAATTGTCTTTTTACCATTCCTAACTCCTGTTTCAGACAGCAATACGTGTTGAAGGGTGGTGACTGGGGATGTGTGAAATACATTCTAACCATCTCAGAAGACTATTTTATCAATCAATTCGACATTTCTATACAATTATGTATCAGGATTAAATTTACACGATACTTGATATCGCAAGGCTAAAATTCACAGCAGATGCCAAGTGATTACACCTATTTACTCTTTGCCTGTACTCCTATAGTGATTAAATGTGACACGCCCCCAAATGCCCTGGTACGGCCGAGAGTGGGGAGAGTCCGCTCTCCCTCTCGAAATGCTCTCACATGGCCACGCGTATATAGCCTCTGCCAGGGAAGTCCTACTCACTGCCTTCTCGTGGCGGGGGTGTTATTTACAAAAATGAGAGGACGAAAAGCGAATGTCCGGCGCTTTAACCGGATCCCAAACTGATGGTGCACATGGGCTCCAGTATCCTGCGGGAACAAATGGCGTATGAACCAATCGTTGGTCACCGGCTACCATGGGACTGCATCTCCTTACGATGCTCCACCGCCTTGTGGATCAGACCTCTAGGTCAAAGGCTCGGGGAGTGGCCCCCTAAGAAAACCACCTGCTTCGGTTTGGGCACCCGGGCAGTATCACAGCCCTCGCACATATCGAATAAGATTTGTGTGGCGCATATGTATTTGGTGCCTTCTTGTACCAATATCTATGTGTTAAAATAAAATAAATAAAATCTCTGAATAAGGTTGATGTAGACGTTAAATCAGTTTTCGAGGTTTATAACTAGCTTTTGGTGGGAAATGAGATAAATGTAATTACCTTGTCAATATTAGGCATCTTTTTAACGTTTGCTTTCTCAAACATCTTTTCATTAACTGAGACTTGTTTTATAAGCTTGAGAAAGTCACTACGTATCATGTAGGAAATCGATAACAATTGTTTGCTGACTTTTGCTCTAGACATCTTGATTATCAATCCAACTGGAATTATCTCTCTTAATGTTGTAGGTGCCAATCACATGTGCAAGTTTCACTTACCCAGACATTGAAAGTCAGCAGTAACAAAATGCACTTTAAAATCTAACTAGGACATCTTCTTGATAATTATCTGCTAAGTTTGAAGAGATTACGATATCACCTGAAGCCGACGAACGGAACGAAAGTCAGCAACACAACAACAGGAAAAGCTAAACTATTCCACTGCACCCTATCCCTGTTAACTAGAGGGAGGACACCAGATTTAGCCGGGGGAATGTATATTACACAAGCAGTCGAAAGCACGAATAAACAAGCACACAACTCATGCGTATATATACAGTACAAAAATGTCCTTGACAAGCGTCACAAAATAGCGTACTAAAAAAGGGAACGAACCAATGACATTTAAGGTCTTTCTGAGTGGGAAATAAAACTGGAGCTAAAAGTGGTAGTTTTTGGCATGAAAATGAGAAACTCAAGTTCCCAAAATAAAATTGGGATATTTACCAAGTGACTTCTGCAGATCTAGCATTCTCAACATTATCCAAAGTCCCAAATGCAATTTTCAAGGGAAATTACGTTTTGACTATAGTTCAATTAAAAGTAGAGGAATGATAAACAATGGATCTCTGCTAAATTAATAAATGTTTGGTGGGACACGAAACCTGAAGGTCCTCAGGTGAGTTCAGTCATGTGTGGGGTAAACGCATTTAGCTGAGGAATTCCAGCCTAAGACAAAACGATCGATTACTACTTGCTTGTTTCCAATGGTTATTCAGATTATAACCGCCAGTTATGAAAGCTGTTTTTAAAAAGTTAGATCAAACAATAATTACTCACAGAATCTAAATTATCCATTCTGTTAGTTGCTGCTACGAGAATTACTTGTCCATTTTGACCTTCAACTCCGTCCATAGCCATTAGGACTTCACCTAAGACATGTTCACTTGCACTTGTTTCTCTAAATAACAACGAGAAGTTTCAAAAGATATTAGAATAAAATATTCAGAAAAAGATAAGATGTATGATTAGACACAAATCAAATTTATAAAATGTTTGAAGTCTGAAACGAATGAGGTAACTTTCCTCTTGAGCGCCTTATTCAAACTACTTTAGCTATTGCATGCCCGGAAAAACTCCCAGGAGAAATAACGGGATTATTTAACTTCCGAGACTTTCACTCACATAAGTAATATCCGATGACTTATGTAAAACAAACACTCAATTTTGTGAAACTATCTGTTTATATGTAGAGTTGGACGATGGCAAGGATTGGAATTCAGGGCGCGCATCTTGTCCTATTCGGGACTCGCCAGTTACCAGACAACCTATGCAAATGAATTAGTTTATATCTTAACAACAGTGCAGAAAGTTATGATACACAAATTAAAACATTAATGACATTAGCAGCTATTTACAGGTAGTATGTATACTAGGTATTAAGCCCGACCTAAATTGTGAAAGTTAATAAGACGCTACTCCACTATCAGAAAGAAATAGGGTAAGGCAGGTTTTAAATGCCCTGTATCAAGTGACAGATTAATAACTAAATAATTCGAGAAAGAATCCTACAGCTTATTTTGATAAGCTTGAAGACTTCATGGCACTTAGAATTACGCATCACTACAAAATAAAATGATACAAATCAATGACTACATGTATAGATTTGGATACTAGTGTTCGAGACTAAATTAATTCATCAAGAAAGAAGTTAGATGGACTATAGCAGTACTATGTAGATAAATATTACAAACCCTGAATTTCGGGAAGGAAGCAACAAATCAATTTCATCAATAAATAAAATAGCAGGAGCAGAAGCACGAGCATGTACAAGAATTCTTCGCATGTTACGTTCACTGTCACCAACATAACGACCAAATATTCTAGATGCCTGAACTGCGATTAGCGGGAGTTGACATTCAGTAGCCAAAGCTCGCACAAACATAGTTTTGGAACAACCTAAGCACAAAAGATAAAAATCTCAGTATAAATGAAAACACTGAGTGAATAGTGTACAATCTAATACATTAGTTTAAAAAAGTTCCATATTACGTGACAAAATAAGTTTAATGATTTAAAATAATGTGCAGACTCGAGGGCTATATCAAAGCTGTATGAAAAACACTTTCTCATCTTTTTAGGTAAGTTATCAAAAAGCATACAGTTACTGATAAATCTTTCGACTGAACGCTTGAATCTGTTTCCTAAGCTCTTCTAATAACCCTAGACTAGCTCTACACGACAACTTGAACACGAGAAAAGGCGCGAAATAAGGAAAGAACGCTTTACTCCATGGTTAGTTTATGTGAAGAAAGTCTAGAGTATTTACAGCTTTGGGTTTCTGAAACTCTTCCAAACATTGTGGTAGGATGGGTAATCGTCCAATCAGAAATGTGACACACGACTCTGAACCTTCTAGATGTTTCTGAGAAACTTCGACTTGATGATGGTTGGATAAAATGATTCCCGGTGTTTTCAGAGCAGCTTTGGGTTTATTTTGAGGAATTTTCTAGGTCTTCCCAACACCCTCCTTCTAAAAATAAGACTTCTCCTTCGAGTCTATTTGAAGCTTGATGACTGGTTTCCGGCAGCGTTTCGACCTCTTTGGTGTCCAGCGACTATGAATGTCCTTGAAAGTTCCTGTCATTGGAGTGCCTGTAATTATCTCCGGTGGAAGATTCACTCGTCCATCTACCGTGTTCAACGTCTTTTTTTCATTGTGGATTCGATTGACGTATCTAAGCCACGTTCCAAACGTCCCGCACAATTTTTACAAAACATTTCCTATTCTATTTTCAAAGACTACAGGTTTTCAACGACTTTTTTCAAGGTATGACTTGATGACCACTTGATCACCTACGTTAAAACTTCGAATAGTCTGATTTCTTCTGCATCTATCAACTGGTTCAGCCGGCAACAGGGTTTCTAATATTGGGAATACAGAATAAAATTTAGGTTTGCGGAGATGGTTGGCAAACAAAACTTACCAATACCAAACATAACACAGTAACATGAAAATTGAAAGTAAAAAGCATATACCAATTATAATAATCATCATGTGCTCACTAGTCACTGGCTTCATAAGGCATTTCCTGGAGTTCTAGTGAGAAGTAGTGACCAGTTCAGCCGGATCTGTTATGAGATAGTGACTCACTGAAGACAATGGGGGATGGTGGCGCAATTTCGTGGATTGATTGAAATTAGACATTAACACCGCTAGATGCCGGCTCAGTGGTCTAGTGGCTAAGCGCTCGCGCGCGAGGCTGATAGGTCCTGGGTTCGAATATCGCGAAGCGGGATCGCAGATGCATGCCGCTGAGGAGTCCTACAACAGGACGAAACGGCCGGTGCTCCCAGGTTTTCCGTGGTGGTGTAGCTTTAATTGACTCATTAATTCAACTATTCAATTACTACAAAATCTTTTCTGATAATCTGGGATTTGACGACCGAATATGGCATGAGCAAAAGAAACACTAGTTTACAGAACACTAACAGGCACTGAAGAATTATATACCTACGTTTTGCTGAATACTTTAATAATGACGAAATGAACAAACCTAATACGTAGTGGTTTCAGTAACAAATTTATTACGGATGTGTTAATAACTACAGTGGTATTGTTGAGTATTTACAAATAAAACTAATTGTAGGCATTTATAATTTATAGAATGGACATTAGTGAAATAAATGTACACTGTGATTAACAATTCCGATTTTCCCAAAATCACACTGAAGTGGTAAATTAGTGCTGTCTAATTAACACGAGTTTATCTACCGATATGTTTTTAACAGTTATCTTTTATCTAAAATAATGAATAAGATCGTATTCCACATTTTTCTGGTTTCGGTCAGCGATGAAGCACATTAATTCCATGGCCGTTGTAAGATTTAGGAGATTCAGTTATGCAAATAAAATTTTATAAAATGTAAATTAAAAACCCACAAATGGAAAATAACTTGCCTGGAGGACCATGAAGTAATATCCCACGAGGTACACGAAGACGCAGAGCAGCGTCCGCTAGTGCATCTACGCTATTGGGTTTGGCAGCACTAACCAAACGATCCTGTATCATAGTTTTGAATATGAGCTTCAGTTCACGATATCCACCAATATCGGTCCACCTTAACGGTTCCACTGAGGTTATATGTTGAGAAAGATTTATCGGCAAATATGAATAAGATTCATTTATCAAAATTTCACAGAACAAATTCAATGATTGATTAAAGTTTCTGGTTCTGGGAAAATCCTTTGAACTGTCGTTCTGTTTGGATAGGAAGGTTGCGTAGCTGACATGAACCAAGCGAACCAAATCCCTTTAAAAAACGACAGAATCAATAAGTAAAATTATATGTCCGGAAAAGTCGAGCTTTATGAATCATCCCAACTCAAAACACTAAATGATAGAAAAGTATTTAAGACTCCAAAGTAGGCTTCGTAAATGATATTTAATTTAGAACACAATTAGCATCAATGCAAAAAGATGATTATTACAAACTACGACTATTAACAAATGACTTAATCAGTGCAAATCATAAAAACATTAAAAACATGTTGTAGTGTTAACATAGAGATTCTATAGAAATACAGTTTTCGAATGAATTAGTTCATCTAATAAGTACAAAAACCTCCTGCATATGTCAAGAAAGCTATGAAGTCCCTGAAAGATAATCTACTAAATAAGTTATATGGAGTAATGACAGAGTTAGTCATTTGACGAACAACATACGCCTATTTCTTTTATATGTTTATTGAGAATAACCACAAAGAAAACAAGACAAAACAAGAAGAAAGTGGCGGCACTAGAATACAAATTTCATTTGTGTATATGATCAGTCACCAATTACTCCTAGAGTTAACAGAATTTCGAGAATGGTCAACCAAAACATAACACATATTCATTCCAGTTTATAAATTGATTAACGTTGGCGACGTAGAGTTCCTGGTTGGAGTCTACAGGATAATCATAATCTCAACAAGTGGAGACGTTGGGTGACAAGGTTCAAATTAGTTTATATAGTTCTTGTGTATTAATCTTTTATTCTTCCTTTTATCTTATATTCTTCTATGTATCTTATTTAGTGACTTCGTTATATTCGCGTTACATCCCCCAAGAATAGTTTTTTCAGTCACTAATGGTATTATTTCTACTTGCTGAACTAATACGAGTTGTGATAATCTGGATTGATGAATTCCAGTGTTAGGTTCCGTATAGTGAAACTGGCTGCCTCCCCCCTCGTACGGCCGGGAGAGGAGAGAGTCCGCTCTCCCTCTCAGAATGCTCTCACATGAACACGAGTATATAACTTCTGCCAGGGAAGTCCTACCCACTGCCTTCTCGTGGCGGGGGTGTTGCTTACGACATTGAGAAGACGGTAAGCGAATGTCCCGCGCTTTAACCGGGTTGGTGGGTATGGAAAATCCACCTAGGGGAGTTGGAAAACCCTGATTCCAAACCAATCGTGTACATGGGCTCCAGTATCCTAAAGGAACAAATGGCGTATGAACCAATCGTTGGTCACCGGTTACCTTGAGACTGCATTTCCTTACGATGTCCCACCGTCTTGTGGATCAGACCTTCATGTCGAAGGCTCCGGGTGTGGCCCCTAAGAAAACCACCTGCTTCCGTTTGGACGCCCAGGCAGTATCACAGACCACGCACAAATAAAATTAAATGACAACAAATACTGGAAATACTGTTCTCGCTTCTATTAAAATTCAAACAACTCACATCCATTAGATAACATTCATTTTTATTTTTTTATATATTGCGTCACTTATCGAACTCCGCCTGTAGCTCTTCCAGAGTTACTGCCGGTCCCAAGCCTGGGTAAAGAAGGAGGGTTAGGCATGGGGTTAGCGTCTCCATCCAGTAGAAAACTAACTTGCTAAAATACGCCTACCAGAAAAAATTATTCAGACTATTTAAACTCTGCCCTGAAAGTTAGGTCTTTTTTAGAAGAATTATGACGCTTCATGGTGAAAGCCGAGTTCCTTCGGAAGCCACGAGGCCGATGCCCCTTCTAACAACCAGAGCAAAAATTTTTATAGGTACATGGAACGTCCGAACAATGTGGGAGACCGGGAAGACCAATCAAATAGCAACGGAAATGAGGAGATACAACTTGGCAGTACTGGGAATCAGCGAAACCCATTGGACCCAAGCTGGACAACAAAGGCTAAATGCGGGAGAGATGCTACTATACTCCGGTCATGAAGAGGAAAATGCTCCGCACACTCAGGGAGTTGCTCTAAAGCTGTTCAAAGTAGCACGAAATGCACTTGTAGGATGAAAATCTCACGGATCCAGAATCATCAAAGCATCATTCAAAACAACGACGGCGGAAAAAGCTGCTAGAGAAGGAAATATGAAACAGCTTTACGATACAACGAAGAAACTATCAGGGAAATACAGTAAACCAGAGAGACCGGTCAAGGACAAAGGCAGACCAATCACTGAAACTCAACAACAGCGAAACAGATGGGTACAGTATTTCGAGGAACTCCTGAATAGGTCGGCTCCAATGTATCCATCAGACATTGAAGAAGCACACACAGATCTTCTTATAGATGTCAATCCACCAACGACGGAAGAAATCAGAATGGCCATCAGACAAACAAAAGCGGGAAAGCAACGGGACCCGACAATATACCAGCTGAGGCACTGAAGTCAGACATCGAAGTAACTACAAACATGCTTTACCTTCAAATAAAAAAAATGTGGGAGGAAGAACAAGTGCCGATGGACTGGAAAAAAGGACACCTCATCAAGATTCCAAAGAAAGGAGATCTGAGCAAATGTGGAAACTATAGAAGAATCACACTACTGTCAGTACCAGGAAAAGTCTTTAACAGAGTTTGGCTGAACCGGATGAAAGATGCAGTAGACTCCCAACTTCGAGATCAATAAGCCGGATTCCGTAAGGATCGGTCGTGCATAGACCGAATTGCGACACTACGGATCATCGTCGAACAATCAGTTGAGTGGAACTCGTCACTGTACATCAACTTCATTGATTATGAAAAGGCATTTGACAGTGTAGATAGGAGGACGTTATGGAAACTTCTTCGACACTACGGAGTTCCTGAGAAGATTGTTAATATTATCCGGAACTCATACGACGGACTACAGTGCAAAGTAGTGCATGGAGGACAGCTGACAGATGCATTCCAAGTAAGGACCGGAGTCAGACAAGGCTGTCTACTCTCTCCCTTCCTCTTTATTCTGGTGGTTGACTGGATTATGAAGACCTCGACATCTGAGGGAAAATACGGAATACAATGGACAGCTCAAAATCAATTAGACGATTTGGACTTCGCAGATGACCTGGCCCTCCTACAGCATACACATGAACAAATGCAGATAAAGACAGCCAGTGTAGCAGCAGTCTTTGCATCAGTAGGCCTCAGCATACACAAGGGGAAAACCAAGGTCCTCACATTCAGAACGGAGAACAGCAATCCAATCACTCTTGATAGCGAAACTCTGGAAGATGTAGAATTCTTCACATACCTGGGAAGCATAATCGATTAACAAGGAGGCTCAGATGCAAACGTAAAGGCGAGGATTGGCAAAGCAAGCACAGCATTCTTACAGTTGAAGAACATATGGAACTCAAAACAACTTTCAACCAATATCAAAGTGAGAATCTTCAATACGAATGTCAAGGCAGTTCTACTGTACGGAGCTGAAACTTGGAGAACTACAACAACCATCATCAAGAAGGTGCAAGTGTTTATAAATAGCTGTCTACGCAAGATACGCAACATCCATTGGCCGGATACCATCAGCAACAGCCTTTTGTGGGAGAGAACAAACCAGCTTCCAGCTGAAGAGCAAATTAGGAAAAGACGATGGAAATGGATAGGACGTACACTACACGAATCGTCAAACTGCATCACGAGACAAGTACTAACTTGGAATCCTGAAGTAAAGTGGAAAAGAGGAAGGCCGAAGAACACATTACGTCGGGAAATAGAATAAGATATGAAAAGGATGAATAACAACTGGAAGGAGCTCAAAAGGATTGCCCAGGACAGGGTTGGATGGCGAATGCAGGTGAGCGGTCTATGTTCCTTCACGAGGAGTAACAGGTGTAATTAAGTAAGTCACTTATCGACTGTCTTCTATTATCTCTCTGTGTATCCTTGTTTTTCAACTTACACAGCAGCTGGCCTATGGTGGAAACCCTGTTTTATCTAAACGATACCGAATCACTGACTAGTCGAAAGTTAAATACTACCACCGAATACAAATATTGAAACAGTCTTTTTAAAACCATGCATACCATTCAAACTGGCTTTCGTCAACGTTCGCATACTAATACAGACCGGACAACAAATAGGGTTGGCTATGTCTTTAGAAAATCCTAATATCGACGTCTGTTGTCTATCTGAGATTCGTATTCAAGACTCTAGAGAAGCAGTACAAATACGTTCTCCATCTGTCGCTTCGAAAAGCTTATTTCACGTGTGTTTATCTGGAGACCCTATGACATCTTCGTCTGGTTTTGTTGGCGTTGTTGCCGCACGAAGCGCTAGAGCTGAGGCAGCACTGATCGATCAGCGAATAAACGTAATAAAATAATCGGGTTACTAAACTAGAACGAATTTTATGTAGTTCAAATCACTAGTTCGAAATAGGTCTACTTACTTGGGCGTATAACCATGTAGTCGAGCCGCAACCTGAATAAGACTTTCATTTTCATCTGTTATCTCGCACGACTGTATATTCACAATGGAACCGTCAGGAGCTTCACTACTAGACATGGAATTAGTCCCATGACTCAAACACGCTTGGATATTTTGATACAATATCTGATAACGTTTACTTGCATCGGGAAGTGATATTAACAAACGTCTATAAAATAGTTCCCTGCATTCATGAACACTAAAAACTTTGTCAATCGTAGTGGCTGTTGCTAGGATGCAAAATCGACATGTTGACTTTTGACTGTGAACCAAACTCTGGCTAACCGATTGGATTGATTCGATAAACCTTTCTAAAATTTTGGGAATCATTTTTGATTCAGCATCCGTATCAGCTGTAGAATGAGTATTAGTATCTATATTTTCATCGTTATCGATCCACTTGTCGATGTTAGGCCATAAAATAACTACAGGAATACAGTTTCTGTTACTGACATCTAATTGCCCAACCATGTTCGTTAGCCAGCGATAGCCATGATGATGAGATTTATTAGTTAACTCGGTGACCAATTTAGATGTAAGTGTAACGAATACTGGCTTTTCATACGAGGACTACAAGAAAAAATGACAATATCATACAAATGATAGGAATATATATATATATATATATATATATATATATATATATATATATATATATATATATATATATATATATATATATATATATATATATATGACTTAATTGGTATTAAGAAAATAGATTCAACGTGCAATAGAAAGGAAATTTACCTCATTTATTGAAATTGAGTGGATTTGGTCATTGGCAATATCCTCAAGAAATGTACGTTTTCCACAGCCAGGGAGTCCATAAAGGATAATCCCAGGCGTTATATTGGAAGAAAAAACGGTTTCATTTCCATGAACACATGTTAATAGGAAGTTTCTGAGATAGCCAAGAATCATATCTCTAACCATATCCAAACCAAACAAGTAACTATTCATGTAATTGTCTTTTGGTATCAACTTGGAAATCTCAGAGCCTCCAAACCCAAATGACAAATTAAGTGGAGCTTCAGCTTGGACCAAGATCAACTTGGTAGAAGAACCAATCTAAAATAATGACGAGATGAATTATATATATATATATATATATATATATATATATATATATATATATATATATATATATATATATATATATAAAGTATACAGTGAAAAACGTAATGAGACAAAATAGGCTACACTGATTAAAAGAATTCGCAAAGTTAGATTCGACTAGACAACTAATTTTTAACATTAAATAAAAATGACTTCTGATATCAAAAAAGCTGCAAATTCAGATGTAAGAAAAGTTGGGTATTGTAAAATGTAAACTGCATATTTATGAATGATGAACAGTATTAAATCAGATAATGTATACCAAAGTTAAAGAACTTGATAGAACGTATTCTTAAACGAAATACAGTCTTGCGACAAAACTATGATCCAGTGTTTAATTACCAAAACGGTTCACGGAAAAGTCAAATTTTTTAGGGCATTCACAGGCTTTCCATCTAGTATTTTCTTTATCGACTGAATTCCGTTAAATAAATAAGCAAATTATGTGAACTAATACCTCAGAAAACGTAGAAGTACGAATTAGGGAACTAAACTTAACAAGATTATCAACAAAGGAGTTATTATTACCAACATGTAACCTTAAAGTGTGCGGCAAAACTACTATTTATTCCACGGAAGTGGCTAGCTGAGAGAAAACTACCAAACCATTTTGTAACGAATATATATATAACTTATCTAAGAATCGATAACTAGATTAAATGACCAGGTATAGTGAGAAACAGTCGTAAAATCAATACATCAATATGGACCGGGTTCGAAGAATTAAAATACGAGGACGGAAAATAAACGTCTACAACATGCGTAAAAAATTTAAAAATCTGCCGTTTAAAATTATTTATACAAAGTAATAGGCTGGATTACTCCAACAATGAAAAATATAGGGGGGGTGGAATAATCAATTCGTGCACAAAATTAATATGTCAATTCAAATATCGCCATGTCAGTCAGTCAGTCAGCTACAACGTAGGACCAGGCACATTTGTGCATCGGTCCAGGTTGCCATACCGCATCAGCACAACAAGATGAACACCGGATTCATAGCAGTGGTTAGGTCAAAGGTAGTAATATGTAAGAGAAAGATTGCATATAGAGATATAGTACAAGAAGAAAGAATTGGTTCGTAGAAAGAAAGATATGAAGCGAATTTAATCTCTTAAATTAAGGGAAGACAGAGAGTGTATACACCGACGCCATTGTGATCGATTCTGAGCCATGTCACCAAGAGTCTCCAACCATTGGTTACGAAAGTCACGCGGACCCCAACCAAGTAGTCTGCATCTACCAACATGGCTCAGACTAGAAGTTAGTGACCTCAAGCACTGATGCCACGTTTTGGTTTGGCCGCCCCTAACTTTCTTCCAACCATTTCCAATACCGGATAGCATTGCACGTCGTGGTAATCGGTGTTCAGGCATACGTAACACGTGGCCCAACCATCTCAGTCGATGAAGATTCATAACCTCATCAACTGATTTACCATCATTCCCTAATACCCTGCGTCTAACACCTCACTATTACTTACCCGGTGATCCCAACAGACGCCAGCAATATTTCTAAGGCATCTGTGGTCAAATACTAATAGCTTACGAGTGTCTTCTACTCTTAATGGCCATGTTTCGCTGCCGTAAAGTAAGACAGAACGGACTGCCGCGCAGTATACTCGTCCTTTTATTGATAGACGGATATCTCGCCTTCGCCATAGGTGACGTAAGTTGGCAAAAGCCAATCGAGCTTTTCGAATCCGTGCTGAGATTTCGTCAGATACCAACCCATTAGGGCTGATCAGACTTCCAAGATAAGTGAAGTTGTCAACGCGTTCGACTACTTCACTCCCTATCCTTAGTTCAGGTGTTAACGCAGACCAGTCCTGAAGCAACAACTTGCATTTAGAGGGAGAGAAGCGCATTCCAAACATTCTGGCATTGTTACTTAGTGCTACCAGAAGACTCTGCATTTTGTCAGCCTCTTCACCAAACAGGACTATGTCATCTGCGTATTCTAAGTCGATAAGTGGACCTCCTGGATGAAGATCTATGATGAAGTTAAACAAGAATGGGGAAAGTGGACAGCTTTGACGGACACCACTTGAGGTTGCAAAAGTAGATGATAGTTCGCCATAAGCTCTGACTCGACTAGTAGTGTTCGAGTAAAGAGCCTTCACAAGGTTTATGTACTTTTGGGGTACACCTTTCAATGACAGACACTGCCATAGAATCTCGCGGTCTACCGAGTCAAATGCTGCTTTTAAGTCGAGAAAGACCACCATTGTCGGACGCCGATAAGTATGCCTGTGTTCTAGAACCTGACGAATGGTGAATATGTGGTCGATGCAGCCACGACCAGGTCTGAAGACAGCTTGGTTCTCTCGTGTTTGCAGTTCACGAGTCTTAGTTAGGCGTCTGATAATTATCGAAGCTAGTATTTTAGATATTATATTAGTTAAACTAATCCCTCTATGGTTGTCACAGGATGTTTTTGACCCTTTCTTATATATTGGGACGATAAGTGATTGCTACCAGTCAGATGGAATAACGTCTAACTCCCAGATCTTAGCTAAAATATTAGTCAACCTAATCGCTAAAATTGGACCACCATCCTTAAAGACCTCTGGAGCCAATCCATCTGGACCAGCTGCCCTTCCTCGTTTCAGATTAACTATAGCCTTTTGAACTTCAGCAAGAGTTGGGGGACCTACTTCAATGTTCCATTCACACTGTCTGGGAATGGAGGGTAGTTGTAGAGTAGCTGAAGGCCAGTTGAAATGTTCCCTGAAATGTTCCGCCTATCGTTCTAAACGTCTGGACTGAGAGCAGATGAGGGTATCGTCTTTTTTCGAAATAATCTCTTTTACACTTGACTTATTAATTCCAGTTTCTTTTGTTAGTCTGTAAAGCTGTCTTGTGTTCCCTATAGTCGCCGCCTTTTTCATCTCTTTTGCCTTCGTTGCCCACCACTGCTCACGGTCGTTTATCAGACTTTTTCTTAACCTAGATCTGATTTGTTGTCGCTCTTCGTCATGTTCAGAACCTGATGGGACGAGTTTGCGAGAATCCATCAGTGTGATAGACTTTGAAGAAATCCACTGATGCTTTGAAACTCTGTAGTTTAAGTCGCTAATAGATGTCACTGCTGCTTCCACAGCTGCTTGTATTTGATTCCAAGCAACATCTGGGTCAGCCTCGTCTTCACAACTACCTAAGTGTGACCTCAGTTGTTCCTGGAACCTACTTTTGGTTTCCTCGCTACTCAGTTCGGTTCTAATGGGTCATTTTACTGTGGCTTTTTTGCGTCCAGTGAGGCACAAGCAGATGCGTGCCCGTATTAGGGCGTGGTCAGAGTCCAAGCAGGTACTCCAGAATGAGCGACAATCTTCTACTGACCCTCTCCAACGATGACTGATGGCAATATGGTCTATTTGAGTCCATCGTTGGTTTGGTGCAGGCGGTCGCCATGTTAGACGATGTCTCTCCTTATGCTTAAAATTTGTGTTTGCTAAAAATAAGCGATTGTCTGAGCACAGTTGCAGCAGACGGTCACCATTATCTGTTCGCTGTGTCGGAATACTAAAATACCCACCTAAATGCCTTTCTGTTTGGTTTAAACTACCTATCTGGGCATTAAAGTCACTTGCTATGAGTACTATGTCTGAACGTTTAGCTTTCTGAAGAAGTTCAAATAGCTTTCTGTAAAATTCATCTTTCACTTCATCTGAGCTGCAGTCAGTGGGAGCGTAGGCAGAAACGACGAAAAGGCAACGACGTATGTCCCTATCCTTCCGAGTTCTTACGGAGCCGTTTAGCCGAACAGCACACAGACGACTGTTGACGTGGACCCACTCTAGCAGTGCTTGTTCCGCCCTCATGCTTAGTGCTATGCCTACACCTGCCAGTCCACGAGAACTGGCCATCACGTCACCAGATACACGGAGGGTGTATCTCGTTGGCTCTCCGTTTTGACGAGGTGAGGTCAAGTAAATGACCACACTGGAATCCTGTATGCGTGTTTCGGAGACACAGCATACATCAATGGTAAGAGACTCTAGGGTTTTAGCCAAGGAAGCCTGCTGACCGATTTGACATAGGGTGCGTACGTTGAAGGCTCCAATGTGTAGTTTGGAGCGAGGTTTCAGTAGACCTGGGACAGTGTTTTGAGCACTAGAATCGTTGGCTATGGTGACATTTGAGGAGGAAGCCGAAGGAGGAAATTTAGAGTTGAAAGTCGATGTAGGAGGAATAATAGGAATTGAAGAGGGAGGTTGATTATGAATACAGTTGTCTTGAGTGCTGTTAGAGGTATGAGGGCGATTATCACTTCCCGGTTGCCCACAACGTGGAAGGGTTCTTCTGGAGGTACCTGAAAAGGAAATTGGATTAGAAGTGGTCTCAGTGACCTGAGAGCGTGACCGCAGTGCCCAAGGGACAACTGCTTGAGGTCGGTCACACACGACCTTGTTATGGGTAATTTTTGCGTTAGCTCCGTACTTGTTGAGACCTTACCGCCGGAGACGGATATCCGTGGGATAAGGCGAGGTGTGCATTTTTAGGGTCGACCTTTCCTAACCCCACCCCACCCCTCCTTGTGGGAAGGCAGCATCGCTGTCATGCTGGTTGTCTGAAGGAAACACCTTACTGCTGTCACACCTCTGTACAGTCAGCAGTACGACTTCGCCTTCGGACCTTGGGTTTGTTGCTTTTAGTCTTACCGCTCTTCAACCGACCTGTCTGACATGGTAGGACCTTGAGGAACGGTTGTTCCAGCCAGTATAGCTCGATTGCTTCATCACGATAGGCAAGCCCGACTACCACGTCAAGGTAGCAACAACGGTCGGGTCCTCTCGGCCGTACCAGGGTATTTGGGGGAACCATGTAGCAATACCACAGTTTTGGTCGTTTATCAGTATTAACAAAATATTAGGTTTCCAAAAACTGTTATGGACTCATATCATCGTCATAAATACGCCTTTAAATTAAATCAGTTTAAATTATTCTGAGTCACATCAAATACGAAATACTATACTCATTTTTAGGAAGGCAAGAATTGATGATAGTTACTGAAAATACCTTTACTCTGGTAACATTTGACATTAACATAGTTTTTTAAACAATTCATAATGGAAAATAATGGCATGTTTTGCAACTTATATCTAATTTTCGGTAAAGTTGTACCATTTGCCAAACAGCAATCCAAGCTATATATGTTAGAGAATGCACTAAAAGGTAGGTCACGCTGAATCCAAGTATACATTAGGCACTCCTATAATTGAACTATTCGTATAATCTAGTGTAACCGGACGTTAACAGTTGGCACAAAAGTTTTGTCTTCGGTCAGCCTTCTTTGACTTTTACGATATGAGCATGAATTACCCAATTTATCACTATTTTCAATAGTACCAAATCAAAACTTGGGTTTTACAATTTATCGTTATGAAACTCACTTTAAAAACAGGTTGATCAGTGAGTGACTGAATAAGTTCACATGACCAAAGATTATCACTGTTGTTGAATGACTCAGAGGGAAAACTTAGGTCGTTGAGATGTGGATGAAAGTCATAATCCTCCTTTAGACTGTAAAATTAAGTAATTGAAAACATGATAATTTTAGATGACTACAAAGGTTTCAATAAATAATCCTAACTACAATTCAGATCAAAATAGATGCTGAAAACTGTCTAAATATGAAGTTTCTAAGAATGTGAATGAAGTGAAAAGTAGTTAATAGATGGAATGCTATGAAGTCAAACAAGTGTCGAAAATGGATATTAAAATATGATAAGACATAAATAATCTTTATAATTTCAAAAAGGCGTATCGACATGCATAAGACAAGGTTGCAATTAACTGGAACAGCTTTGACAAGTTACTATCTCAATCTCAAAAGATTCGGCAGCAGTGAAATACATAACACAGGAGCTAGCATAGAGATATGGAGCCCTACGACGCATGTTGATCTACAAGGTTGAATGTACCTGCATTACTATGACTAGTTTTCAGACATGCTAATTCGATCGTTTTGGTCATCTCTGTCAAAAAGAAGTAAGCACTAACAGTATGAAGATCAGATAGTGAAAACGCCACAGATCATTTCCATGGTTTGGTTCAGCCAACTCAGTCAAGTTTTGACTCAATCAGAACAGTTCACGGAAATAAAAGAGACGGTTAACTCCATACTAATGAGTGAGAACATGCTCAACACTCCAAATAAGATGGTTTGATGAATAAGCTCTTAAATGAACCTGCAAGGACATTATGATTATCGATCACAAACTTCATCCAAAAAATTGATCTCAATGAAAAGACTAATAACTGAGATTAGTTATGGGGAGATAAAGGTGATTTTCACACTTGAACTGACATGTTTTATTACTGATTCACTTTTAGGGGCGACTTGTTAAACCAAGGAAATGAGTATTCCAGGCAGATGGTCTCATTCATAAAACCAAGTTCCTTGCGAGTTTTACGGACTTAAATCAGGTCTAACAGATGGTTAACTGACTTTGTGTTGGAACTAAATATATGAGAATGAAAAACATGCCAAACTGAGCTGCATAATAAAAACATCTTACATTGCTTGCCTGGTGTTTTGAATGGAAAACGCTTCTCCAGATACTGAAATGGCCTCGACGATTAGCAAACTGAAGTAATCTCCAAGCGCTCGAATAGTCTGCTTTGTTCCAACCATGGTGTGTGACATCTCTGGAGAATTTAACAATCAGTGTCGGAACTTACGCAACCTGTAATGCAGACTGTTTTCCAAAAGAGGCAAAAGGACCGGGTCCATCGGAGTCCTATTTCATTGTAAAATTAGAATAAATCAGGTTACATAATCTGTAGTCTCAATGACTCGGCTGGAATCACTCGGGTTGGTAGTTGAACGGTCAATCTTCGAGGCAAGTCTGGACCGAACTTGGATAACATCTCATCAGAGATCTCAACATTGCCTGAGGACGAAACCCCGATGACAGCAGGAAATTTGCAGTTTACGACAACAACTTGAAATACACAAAGCTGGTTCTTACGGTAGAATGAAAAAGGCAGTAATATATCAGGCTTCATTTCGAACTGCATCAAAATACAAATTAGTGATGCAGGCCACTAATTTTTCTATGCCCACTTTTTCGGTATATGATTCAGTATTACGTGATGGCGAAATACATAGCACGTACATTAGGAAATGCAAATAGCGGAAAGGCATTACCACGTTCACCCCAAGGTTGTCATCGGGACTTCTAGGTCACTGTAGTTTGCGGAACATCTAATACTCAATATCTTTATTTTTAGATTGTATTGACAGACTGATGCCTCTGCCATCAAAAGTCCTAAATAAGTAGTCCAGCCACTCGACTTCCCTAATCCCAATGAAATCTAGAGATTATTAGGAGGTTAATGTTTCCCTAATTTACGAAGAGGCATGGTATTCAGTCTTCAGTAATAAGTATGGTATGTTGGTGGACCTCTGTTAACCTTTGCAGCTTGTTTTTCAGTGAAGGTCCAACTTCTCGTTGAAAATGCTCACTGTAGGGGCTGATATCAATTGTTTGAGTAGGGCAGAAAGATTTATTAACATCAAAATCGTAATTAAAGAAACGGAGTGTCAATAGTTGGTCACCTTGCGTACTACGACACAACAAGTGGAGAAGGTCTAGGTGTTTTAAGAGCTCATCATGAGGGTTTAGAGAGACCCCCCACTAATTTTGTTCCCACACACTGGACACGCTCAATTGAGTAAGTATCCTTATTAAGATATGGACCGGCTGCTTGGACATAATTTTATAGGTATGATCTTCCGTAGTTGCCATATAAGACTCGAAACATCTTGTCAAAGCATTTGGATGCCTGATGAAGTGACTATAACGCTCGAAAACGTTAGGCGGCTGATGCGTTCTATTGAGTGATTGTATTTAAATTGTGACTGACCATTACCCCTAGTTCATTGTATTCCTGCATACATGGACGCAATCTACCGTTGGCAGTATACTGGTAACTATTACCGTGTCCAGTGTGAATTAGCACAGCATTTCTAGAATTAATTGCAAAACATCAACATTGGAACCATCAAACTTATTCTTCTAGATCAGCTTGAAGATCAAAATGATAAGCCTCACTTGTCAATTTTCTCTAGATTTTGACATTATATCCAAACAATATTGCCGACGACTTTAGCAGTTGTGGTAATTCGTTGATTGACGTGAAGAAGAAAGTAAGGGTGCCTAACACAGTGCCTTGTGGTACACCAGTTTCGACTGGCATCCATTCAGATAGTATCCTACTTACTCTCACTCTCTGCCTTTGGCAAAGAAGGACGTTTCTCAGCAATTCTTACACGGTACCTGCCTCTGAATAAGATCTAAGTGAGGAACATGATCAAATCCTTTGCTGAATCCTATGAATATCACACTAAGAGATTATCCATTATGCTGGGCTGCTGTCCAATCCTCATTCGTAATAAGTAAGTTGGTTGAGTGTGGTGAAGGTACATGTTGAGCAGCATCGTGAGTGGTAAAGTAATAATGTCTGCGACAGATGACAATAATCATGGACGTAACCCATCAAAAATGTCTGTCGACTAATGATCTCACGCTTACGTAGCAACATTTCTGTTGCTGAACAATGTTGTAGAAAAGTTGTCCTAGTCTTGGTCGGTCGCTTAGGTCATCGCACCTAAGAATAGCCTCTTTCAAAGTTCCGTAAGGTTACGAGTTATCACTAGTGAACATACTAGATGTGACGTACCCGTTGTTGCCGCTTGATAGTGCTTTCGCAACCCTGAGGAATTGTGCAGAAGTGTCTGTCACATCGTGTTTGCGGAAGTCGGCCTCTGCGTGGCAGGATCAGGCTTTTAAATTTGAAGGCGGGTGGCGAGTCTTGATCTAAAGTCGCTCAGGCGTATATTCCGTCCTGATGAAGATAAAATGTGAGAAAAATTATCCGAAAATATGAAACAATACCACGATACGTAAAAATATGGATTAAAAAATGACATATAGTGTTCCAACGGGGAGCGAACTGATAGGTGTGCCGGTTCACGTCGGTATTCAAAGTTTAATAATGCCTCTAGAAGTAACACCCTTGTAATTGAAGTACACTAACTCCAGTCAGATTGGAAGTGAGAAATGAAGTGGTTCGAAGATATAATTGGAAGGTTATCGACATGTCGAGACGTGTTTGATCTAAGCTGGTTAACAGTTAAAAGGTAATAGTAGCACGGCGTACCCACTGGTTAATCGGTACTGCTGCACAACCGAGTGCCTTTATCTGGGTTTGTCCAGTGAAACTATTGAGGTCACCATCTATAATGAAGACTTACAGAAGCATTTATTTTAAGGATTTATCTGCCGCAACAATCGCTGGTCTTAATTGAAAATAAAGCAGTTCGCATTGATAATGCCCCAATTATTTGCAAAATCCATTGCCACTAAAATCACAATGTAATTTCAAAATTTATGGTAAATGTACCTTATAGGAGTCCGTTTAGGTGAATAACATAACTTCACTAGGAAATACTACAAAATTAAGATGTTGAGTCATGGCTTATATGATGATAAAAACAATAAAATTATGTGAACCAAGAAAGATAGGTTTTGATGCATAGAAATATGAATTCATTTTATTTTGTTAGGTTCTTATTAGCTCTTTACAACTTATAGGTATCAATATCTGTGATAACTTTGACTTCAGAATATAAATGTGTAATATCAACATGTAATGGGTGAAGTAGTGCAGAAGTTTACAGGAAACGAAACTTATGTGACAACATGTGATGAGGTAGTTTCCTATAAATTTAAACTAATGGCTGAAAAACTACACAGTGAGATATATATTACCATTTTTATGTGGTTTATGACTTTACTGATGACCTACTTTTTTAGCGTTTGAGACATTACGTGAAATTTATTGTTTTTATTTTATTCTTTATGCCATTTGTTCAAACTTAATTGTAATTAAGATTAATAATGAGACAATAATATTGGACTGAGACACAATGGTATGGGCTAAAGTTATTGAAATTCGAGATCAGTAGAACAGCTTGTATCACTTTTACCATTACAAATTGAAGTAAACAGTAAGGAAGCGTTCAGTATGTACAGTAACTGAAAGTCACTTGCCATACTAATTTAACTATATCTTTTGTGTGTGGAGCTTAAAGTGATCACTGTTTTCAGATGATTTTTACGAACTCATGACTGCAACGTTTGATGGTAATATCTTACAAATATGCTACTTTTACACCCTTAATAACTTGCTCATTAACTCGCACCAATGGTATTCATCTACCCACCATATATCCTCCGGCACAACAGCCATTCCCACGGCAGTTTACTTCTATTTCTAAAGCTTAGGAAGTACAAAGGCGTCGAATATTTAGGTTGGCTATTAAGGGGATGAAATGAAAGTCTCACATGTGGCCTGCTGAGTAATAGCCAAGAAGTTTGACTGTGCTTTTTTCAGCTAGTTATTCCCATCATTGCTTCCTAAACAAAAAACGAACGGAAAAATCTCCTAAAATATTCGTTTTGCTGAGTTCTTCACCACCGTCTAAACATACACCGGGAATCATCTTTATATATAAGATTCCCAATACGGAGACCTATCGAACTAGTGAGTCAGAGCTTTGTGGCGCTAATAGTATAGGTATGACTGACAGGGACTTGGAGCGGAAAGGAAAGTGCTGAAACTAGATAACACTGGCTCCGAACACAGAACATGTTATTTTGTGAAAATCTTCAAGCCATACAAAATTAACCGTTCTTTAAAAATACCATCAGTTCTATAAATATCATTATATCTCAAATGATTTAAAATAAAAGATGAAACGAGATTGGTTAACTTCATTGTGATATTGCTAATGGCGAAGTCTACTTTGATTAACTTTGTTTTATGTCATCAACAACAGATTCAAATTGTTGCTTTCAGCTATCTCAAGGCTACCTCCTCATTCGCAGATGGACTGTGGTAACGGCTTCAAGATAAATTTGGAACATTCTTCAGAAAATCCTCTTGTTTGTTCAGTGTGCTCAGGTCGTGAAGTGTTTGGTATATTACCTGCTTGTCTGCATGTAGTATGTGTAACATGTGCAGAATATATGCGTAAGGATGATGTATACCGTTGCATTTTATGCAAAGAATCAAGCCAAAAGGTAGATTTGATTATCCTTAATATATTTTCACAAGATTATCAGCAATCCTAACATTTGTAATTCCGAAAACACCAATAAGTCACCCACATGCAATTGGTGCCATGACAATGGAGAACAGACGAAATCAATCGGACATTGCGAAGATTGTGACATATGGTTATGTGGAGAATGCCTAAAGGGTCATAACAGAATGCCTCCATTACGTAACCATAACATTACACTGCTTTCAAAAAGCGAACATCTAGGTTTGTCATATGTAATGTTTCTAAACTTTGTTCAGTTATTTATCAACAACGTCTACGATACTTGTAATTATGTTTGTCAACTCAAGTTTTAATTTTTTATGGTTATGTTATTACTAGCAAGTCGGTTTTTCGTGTATCATGCCATATTTCTGCAGTCTAAAGGTAATGGATGAATCAATGTCGTTGGTTCATCGAATTGGACTAAGAATTCAATGTGTCCACCTTCATTCTTCAGCATTAAGATTCAGATTCAGATTTGTGTAGTAAGGACAGAAGGCCTACGGCCTATGTTATTCCTTTTCTAGTATGCTTCTGTGAGTGTCCAGTCTTCTCTTGAAAGAGTCAATTGAAGGTGCGGATACCACTGCTTCAGGCAGCAGGTTCCAAGTATTGATGACTCGGTGTGAAAACCTGTATGCCAAGGGTATTTTGTTCGTTCTTGGCTTTTCTACTCGCCTGCTATGTCCTCTGAGGTGTCCCGATCTAGTGGGAAGAAAGAGAGAGAATAAGTTAGGTCCGAAATCATTTCTCAGTATTCTGTACATCAATATTAGATCTCCCCTTAGTCTGCGATAGGACAGAGTAAAGAGGTTCAGTTTTTCAAGCCGCTCTTCATATGATAAACCCCGGAGTTCCGGAATTGCACGCGTAGCTGCCCTCTGTACCTTTTCTAGTATGTCTGAGTCACCCTTTAAACAGGGGCTTGCAGCCTGAACACAGTTCTCTAACTTAGTTCTCACTAAGGATGTGTATAATGTGGTGAACATGGTAGTATCAAGCTTAGTGAATGTCCTTTTTAAAGCCCAGAGGGTTCGAAACCCCTTGGCTGCGACCTCCCGGCAATGGGCCGTCGTCTTAAGATCATTGCTCACTGTCACCCCTAGGTCCTTATGAGACCGGACTATGGGTAATGACACATCCCCTATGTTGTACGTATTAACCTTTGAATCCCCCAAGTGCATGTAGACACACTTTTCCGAGTTGATAGGCATTAGCCACTCTTTAGACCAGTTTATCATATTATTTAAGTCCGCCTGAAGAGTAAATGCGTCTGTGTCACCAGTTATTACTCGCCAAATTTTTACATCGTCAGCGTATAATAACATTGGAGACTGTACTATACTTGTAAGATCATTAACGTACATTATAAAAAGTAAAGGACCTAGGACGGAACCTTGGGGTACTCCACTAAGTACTGGTCTCCAGATGGAGCACTTGGAATTTATTCTTACTTTTTGCCTACGACCTACTAGGAAATCCTTAATCCATTTTAAAAGAGGTCCGGCAATACCAAGGTTTGCCAACTTCAATAGCAGTCTATTAGTTGGCACCTTGTCAAAAGCCTTACTGAAGTCTATGTAGACAACATCCACTGAGTTTCCGTTGTCTAGCGCATTAATCCAGAGCTCCCTAGCTATAAGGAGGTTCGTTGTACAGGATAGACCCTTTCTAAAACCATGTTGTGCCATGTTCAGCAAGTTATTGGTTTCCATAAATGCCGTTATGGTCCGTTTGATTATCCTTTCCAGTATTTTAATTACAACACTGGTGAGGCTTACGGGTCTGTAATTTGATGGAACTTGTCGTAGACCAGTTTTATGTATGGGAGTGACGATTGCGTCCTTCCAGTCCATAGGTAACACACCTTGGTCAAGTGACATTTTGAATATCACAGTCAGTGGGGCTGCGATATATTGGGCAATATGTCTCAAGATTTTAGGGTGTAGTTCATCTGGTCCTGTTGACTTCTCCATGTTTAGGGTGCTAAGAGCCTTAAGCACATCGTTTTGGTCGAAGTCCACGGTGAGCAGCTGGTTTGTTGACTCTGTAATTGGGTCTGGTTCTTTCTCTAGAGGAGGTTCCTGAGTGAAAACTGCCCCAAAGTAGTCAGCCATAATCTCAGCTTTTTCCTGATCTTCCTCTATCATTTCAGATTCACTTCCTACTTTAATTAGGTTGGGAATCCAGTGATGAGTCCTTGTTCTGTAGTTTATGTACGAGAAGCTAGGAGTTCCATCGAGCTATATTAATCATTGCAATTCCTAACACGGGGTCCAATTTCGTTCAAAATTTGCCAACAAAATGTGCTGATATCACGTGTTCTGATAGAGGATCCCAGTTATTCACTACTCGGTGCGAGAAACGGAATCCCAGACGTAAACGATTTGATCTCGGCTTTTGACCTTTCTTAGAATATTCTCTCAGATTATCAGTCCTAAATGAAAGGAAGAGATCAGACGTTAAAACCAAGGTCACCCTCTGGTATACGATAAGCCAATCTTAGATCACCGTAATCTGCGGTAAGACGTCGAAAATAGGTTAAAGTGTCTCAATCTGCCTTCATAGGATAGGTCAGAGAGACATTTTAACATGTTGGTCCCTCATCGGCAGAGCCAGTCAGTCAGCAGCAACGTAGAACTTCGAATGTACATACATCAGTTCGAGTTGTCATACCACAATAGCACATAGATATAATTGTCGATTCAAATCCCATAGTGGTATAGGTAGTAAAGGTATAAGCAGTAATCGGAAGCATTAGGGTTTGAATATGTTATTCAAGGAGTATAATCCAGTGAAATAAATATTTAAAAAAAAACAGGCACATGAGAAAGATTAGAATTAGGGAGAACCCAAATAGTTGATGCACCTGCGCCATAGAAAACGATTTTGAGCCATGTCATTCAAGGTCTATAACCATTGGTTACTATCGTCTCTCGGATTCCAACTAAGTAGTCTACACCTACCAACATGGCTCAGTCCAGTTGTCAGTGACTTCATAGATTGGTGTCGTGTTTTGGTCTGGTCGTCTACTTTCTTCCAACCTCCCCCTACATCATAAAACATAAGCCATCTCAGCTGATGAAGTTTCAGTACTTCTTCAATTGATTTGCCATCCTTACTACTACCCGTTTCCTAGCAACTGCATTACTTACTCGGTTGTCCCAGGATATACGAGCAATGCTTCGGAGACACCTACGGTCGAATACTAGTAACCTACGAATATCCTCCACTCTCACCGGTCATGTGTTTTCACAGCCATAAAGTAGGACAGGACGAATTGCTGCCCAGTAAACCTTCATTTGGTTGGTAGATGGATATTTCGCCTATGCCATGAATGACGCAAGTTGGCGAAAGCTATTCAAGCCTTCTGTATCCGTGCTGAGATTTCGTCACATACCAGACCACAAGGGCTGATGAGACTCCCAAGATAAGTGAGGCGGTCGACACACTCAACTACTTCACTCCTTATCATTGGCGGAAAGTAGAGCGGATGACTGCTGCAGTTAGCAATCCATTTACATAAAGTAAATACAATAGTACCAAGGATTGTACCTTAGGGAACTCCATGTTTTACAGATTCCCACGCTGAGAGAGCTCCATTTACCCTTGCCTACTCTTTCATATCATTGGAAAAGTCACTTGCCCAGTCTATGACTTCATAAAAGATTCCAAAACTTTCCAGTTTTGATTTAAGAACCAGATGAGTGATCCTGTCAAAAGCTTTACTTAGATTTATAAAGATCACATCTACAGGAATATTTCTATCTTTCGCTACGGCCCAATCTATTTTTGCAATGAGCAAACTTGTTAAACGAGATGGTCCTTTCCTAAAACCATGTTGTTTACTGGATATAAGATTTTTCCCTTTCACATAATTTAAACTAGCCATCCGAATAATCCTTTCCATTAGTTTGACAACTTCACTGGTTAGACCAACGGGTTGATAGTTATCAACTAAGTCTCTGCTCCCTGCCGTATACACCGAACTGATTATTGTGTTTTTCCAGTCTTTTGGCAGTCTAGACTGTTGCAAAGACATATCAAACAGCATGGTCATAGGTTCAGCCATTACATCCGACAAGTCTTTCATAAGCCTATGATAATTATCGTCCGGACCACTGGGCTTATCTGGTGTAAGGTGTTGAATTAATCTCAAGATAGTTCCTTCCTCACTACAGGACCCATTGACAAGCCGCCCTGACTACGATTAATTATTGGTCGTTCTTCATTGCCGGTAGAAAACACTACTAAAATATTCCGACAAAGCTTCAGCTATTTGTCATCTTTCATCGACAGACTTTCTCGTACCAGAAGTGGTGGAATTCCATCACTCTTCTGAGTTTGCCTCTTCAAATACAACAATAACCTTTTCAAACTTTTCCCACAATCCCTAACCAACTATTTTTTATATGACTATCTAGTCTTACCTACAAGCAATCCTAGTCCTACAATAACTGGATGTGCTATTCTAAGTCAGTAGAGATGAATATATTCCAATGCATTTAGGTTTCTTCATGTAGTTCATATAAATCACGGGTGTAAACGCAACCAATTGTAGAAAATCAAGTACTAGAGGGTCCAACTTTGATGCCTTCAGCGACTTTTTTGTGATTCCTAAGACTCGAATTGGTAAACTCAGGAAGGGGATATATCTCATTTCAGCGATTCTCTAGACACTGGTTAACAGTTAGGAGTCTACACTCATAGTTTAACTGCAATTCATCTTATCATAGCCTGGTTAATGTTCGATTATTTCCTTAAAATAATTTCACTTTATGTAATTGTTTTGAAGGCACCTGTTATTGGAATGAATTAAAATACTTGATTGTTTGAAAATTTTTCTCCATTTTAAGGCTCACTACGATGTGAAGCACACCCGAACGAAGCACTAGAATGCTTCTGTGAGGCTTGTGGAGTATTAACTTGTCGTGACTGTCAGCTATCAGTTCACAGAGATCATGGAAGCCATCGGTGGGTTGGAGAAAAAGCTGTTCAACTAAAGGCTCCTTTAGAAGAGGGCATTCAAAACCTCAAAGAATCAGAAAAAAAACTATCTTCTGCCTTACTTTGTGCTACTAGCGCTCGTACTTGCATGGAGGACAGCTTCATATTCAGTGTGGAAAAAGCTCGTCAAGATATCAAGTCACGGACGTCTTCCCTCATTGATTGCATTCAAAATCGTTCTGAATGCCTCTTGAATGAACTTGACAAAAAGGCAGATACATATATTGGTCGACTACAGGAGACGGAGAATTTGATACGTAAGCTCCAGGTATGTGTAGCCAACTAGCTTACTCTAATTTAACCGTTTTGCTTACCTGCGACACTACCTATGTAGTCCACGAAAATGTAAGTTTCTTATTTCATTCAAGATACGCCCCTACAAAAAGAGACATGTCTGTCTCGCGTGGCCACCTAATTACCTACTCACATGTAGATAGTGACGGAATCGCGGAAAGTTCATTGTTTCAATCCATATAAAGAGACCCAATTATGCTGACTATTGAATCTATTATTGACTAAAGGTCCATAAGCCTTATAAATAGTAGTTACAGAGATTTCGTAAAAAAATCAGGAACCTTATGAAGTTCTCTTTTGATTTTCATAAATGTTTCTTCGTGGACTTTTTAAATCAGATTTATATATCGCGCATAAAATGTTAAATATGAAAATACATGTGATTAATCTTTTTGTCACTATAAAGGAACAGATAAATTTTGCGTCGGCATTTTCTAGTCATCTCATTCAAAATGTGGACAATGATCCTGCTAGCTTAGTGCAGTTGTATGAAACTGTCAAACTTCGACTTGATTTGCTTCAAATACTGTCTGAACAAGTTTTGAGTGATTCGCCGTCCGTAATTGATTCATTGGATCAAAAACTGAAAGATCGAGTTAAAGAGTCCAGTTTATGGTCTGAAAATGTTATTGGCTGGCATACTATGGTCAATACACGAGCATTGTTTCTTGGCACCTGGGATGCTGAGGAATTATGTCGATATTCTGGAACAATAGCATGGTTACCCAAACAAGCTAAAAATACCTTTTCTCTCAAGGACAATAATCAAACATTTGGCAGTCAGGTAGTTGTAAAGACAGAAAATGTAAGTTTCAGGAGAATTTGAATTTTTGTTTATCAATAAATAATAATTGCTTATGATAAGTGTCCTTGAATTTTTAAACAAATATATTTGTTTCCCCTAAATTGTATAAACACTAAATTAACGTTTTTGATAGTTTAATTACTTGTTAATTTATAGAAGTATTGTGTTTTGTGAATACCGTTGGTAAATTTCCGGACAAAAGTTAATGCTCCCCGTTTGTTGAGTTGTTCTTGAGCGAACTGGGGACTAAGTAATCTTTTTAAAAAACGTCCAACTCCTTGTGAGCTTTGCCCTGGCTTTTGTATGAGATAAAGCGAAATCGTTTTGTAATGTGTAGAATTCAGTAATGGTTATTAGTTCGGAGGAGATATATGAATGGGTTATTTTCATATCGTTGGTTCGTATTATTATTATTATTATTATTTGAACACATAAATATTGGTACAAGAGAGCGCCAATATATATGCGCCACACAAAACAATGGGAATTCGAAGAGAAGTAGAAAGAGAAAAAAAACTAAGGAACGCAAAAGAAAAAGAGAACAATGACGAAGAGATTGGAGTAAGGTAGTGTGGTAGTAACGACGGAACGAAAAGGTACAATCAGAAGAAATCTTTCAGTTAGGGAAGACACAACCACTTTTTATGAAGAAAGTAAAAGAAGGTTACAGCAGGATCGCCACTGGCTTCTATTCTGAGCCATATCTGATAACGTCTCTAGCCACTGTGTTGCACCATCTCTAGGACCCCAGCCAGGGAGTCGTGAAGGGCCAACACAAGCCAGCCCTTTGCAGCTTTCTTTCATGGCATGACACCATGTCATGCACTGACCACCTCTCCGCTTCTTCCAACCAGTCCCAGAGTCGGCAAATAATGCACGACGTGGAATTCTCTGGGACGACATTCGGAGAACATGTCCAAGCCACCGAAGTCGGTGTTTCAAGATGGTGACACCAATTGAGTTATCATCTCTGTGCCCAAACACACGATGCCGAACCTCTGCATTACTGACATGGTGTTGCCACTGAATGTCAGCAATCCTTCGGAGACAGTGATGATCGAACACAGAGAGTCGTCTAACGTCCTCAACTCGGAGAGGCCAGGTTTCACAAGCATAGAGCAAAACTGCTCTCACCGACGCGTTGTAGATCCGAGCTTTTACAGCCAGACTAACATCACGAAGGCGCCAAAGGTTGCCCAGATTGGCATAAGCCGCTCTGGCTTTCACTATTCGTGCATTGATCTCATCACTCACACCCCCACAAGCACTTATGCAGCTACCCAGATACACGAACTTCTCAACTACGTCTATCTGCTCACCTTCCAGCGTGAGTACAGGATTAGAATCCTGTCAGTCTTGTAGAAGTACTTTGCACTTCGAAGGTGCAAAGCACATACCATACCTACGGACACTGATTGCCAACTGATTAAGTGCGGATTGCATGGGTTGGGCATTATCGCACAGTAAGACAATATCATTTGCGTACTCAAGGTCGAGAAGTCTTTCTCCAGGCAGCAGATCTACAACGCCATTACTTACATTCATCAGAGCTGTTTCCAGAATGTCATCAATGGCAAATTTGAAGAGGAATGGTGAGATTGGACAACCCTGCCTAACCCCACTGCTCGAATGGAACAATGGAGAGAGGTGGTTGTATGCCCTCACTCTGCCTGAGGTGTTTGTATAGGGCTTTTAGGATGCTAATAAACTTCTCAGGCACACCCTTCTTCAATAGACAATCCCAGAGAACAGTCCTGTCCAACGAATCGAAGGCAGCCCTGATGTCAAGAAACACTACGATTGTTGGCCTTTGAAAAGTATGGCAGTGTTCTAACATTTGGTGGAGGGTGAAGATATGATCAATACATCCTCGGCCAGAACGAAACCCGGCCTGCTCCTCGTGAGTCAATCTTTCTCGGGTTTTGAACAACCTACGAAGAATGACGGAAGCCAATAACTTGGACGCAATCGGAAGTAAACTTATCCCCCGATAGCTGTTACAAGAACGACGTGAACCCTTTTTAAAGATAGGGACAACTATCGACTCATTCCATGACGTTGGTACACTCTCTAGTTCCCAAACCTTTGTAAACAACGTCGTCAATTCCTTAGTCAAAAAGTCACCACCATCTTTAAAAAGAGCCGAAGGTAAGTCATCTGGGCCAGGTGATTTGTAACGCTTCAAGAGTTGGAGTTCCTTGCGGACTTCCTCCTCGTTTGGTGGATCAGTCGTCACCGGCCATGGAGGGCAGGACAGTCTGACCGATGTTGCCGGAGCAGCAGGCCAGTTGAACTGCCCTTCGAAGAATTCTGCCCATCGTCCAAGACGTCGATGGATGTTAGTGATTGGCATCCCATCATCCTCGCAGATTGTTTCACTCACACCAGACTTCTTGCTGCCAGTGGCTCGGATGAGCTGGAAGAGCTTCCGGTAGTTACCAGATGCAGCTGCTGCTTCCAGCTCATTAGCACGCATCGACCACCAGGCTTCTCGGTCCTTACGCAAGCTTTGCCCAATTTCACAACGTAACATCCTTCGTTTATGGTCAAACTCACGATCACCCGGAGTAGACCGACGGGCTTCAATGAGTTGTAAGGAACCAGAAGAAACCCAGTGCTTAAAAGCGGGACGTTTCGCAAACCCACAACTGACTGTTCCCGCCATTTTCATGGCGTCACGCAATTGCAACCAATGCTCATCTATACTTTTCGGTGGAGTGGTAGCTAGCCTAGGAGCGGCAGTCTTTTACACAACCACGCCAGCGGTAGCTGATCGCAATGTGATCAATCTGAGTCCAGGCTTGAGATGCAGAGGGAGGACGCCAGGTGGCACATCGGCGATGACTGTGCCGAAAGTTAGTGCTAGCCAGAAACAGGTTGTGGTCTGTGCACAGTTGCAGTAGACGGTCCCCGTTATCTGACCTGCGACCAACGAGTCCCCATCGGCCACCTAAACGACTCTCTTCTGTGCCTAGACGCCCGACCTGAGCATTCAAGTCTCCGGCTGGTACTACAATATCTGTCGAACGCACTTTCTGGAGAAGGACTGATAACTGGTGGTAAAACTCATCCTTGATTGCATCCGGGCTGCAATCTGTCGGGGCATAGGCGGAGATGACGAAGAGACATCGTTTCTCACGCCGATTTCTTCTCACTTTGATGGAACTTTCTAATCTATCAGCACATAACCGACTGTTAATGAGGATCCAATCGACTAGTGCTGCCTCAGCTCTAGCGCTTAGTGCGACACCAACGCCAGCAAGACCAGACGAAGATGCCACAGAGTCCCCGCATAAGCGCACGTAAAACAAGCTTTTCGAAGCGACAGATGGAGAACGTATTTGTACTGCTTCTCTAGAGTCTTGAATACGAATCTCAGATAGACAACAGACATCGATATTAAGACTTTCTAAAGACATAGCCAGCTCTATCTGTTGTCCGACCTGCATAAATGTGCGAACGTTGAAGACAGCCAGTTTGAATGGTGCACGTGGTTTCAGAAATCTGCTTCAGTACTCATATTTATTGGTAACATACAATTTTCAACCGCACAGTGACTCGAGGACGTTTAGTTAGAGTCGAATTTCCACCAAAGACGAGCCACTGTATAGGTATAAAAGAGGGTGAATAATGTGGAAAATAATAATAATAATGATAATAATAACAATAATGACAATAATAGTAGTAATAATAATATTAGTATTAATAGTGACAATAATTGTAATGATAATAATCTGAATCAATTGTTTGTTTTTCAAAGCGAGAAAGGTAATTTCCATAGGCATAAAGAGTTCATCAATTTGTGTGTGGGCTGTGATACTGCCCGGGTGCCCAAACCGAAGCAGGTGGTTATCTTAGGGGCCACTCCCCGAGCCTTTGACCTAAAGGTCTAACCCACAAGGCAGTGGAGCATCGTAAGGAGATGCAGTCCCATGGTAGCCGGTGACCAACGATTGGTTCATACGCCATTCGTTCCCGCAGGATACTGGAGCCCATGTGCACCATTGATTTGGAATCCGGTTAAAGCGCCGGACATTCGCTTTTCGTCCTCTCATTTTCGTAGACAACACCCCCGCCACGAGAAGGCAATGAATAGGACTTCCCTGGCAGAGGCTGTATACGCGTGGCCGTGTGAGAGTATTTCGAGAGGGAGAGCGGACTCTCCCCACTCTCGGCCGTACCAGGGCATTCAGGGGGGCTATCGTTCGACACTTTTGTGATTGAAAATTTTGAAGTGGTCAGGTTACGCGTTAATATTTGATTAAAAGTTATTACAGGAAGGCATTAAATGTTTCTTCCTATGCATCCAGTTTACGTTGATATTTAATGTATGGATTAGTGTTCAGTGTGATTGTAACGTATTAGTTGAACGAATGACGAAAACAAACTTTTCATATTCTAAAGTAAATAATCTCTTATTTTATAGTGATGGGAATGGTGTATACTCAAAACAAAACATTAAGTCGATGTTACTCGTAAATTAAAGTAAAGCTGACTCCATCTGTTGCGACGAATGTTTCTAGGCTACATTGGAATTCTGGTTTGTTAGCGTCCTTATGGCTATTATAGTTTGCCTAACGAGCCAAGCTGTATGATAAGTTTACAAATGTGTTTGTACAGTTTGTATTATTATATTTTACATTTAACTCAGATGAATTTACTCCCAAGTTAAAATATTTTGTTGTTCCAGGGATTATCGAAAAATAATGACTTTGCAAGTAATCAACTGTCTGCTGATACGAATGATTTTCTGGATTCTCTAGCAGAATTGGATGGTGATAAATGGATATGTGGAGAAGCTAATGGTGAATCTAATTCTTCTCCAGTGGGATGTGCTATCTGTTTTGGAGTTGGACTACTCGCACACTGTGGGCGTTGTAACCGGGCATATCACTTGGATTGTCATTTACCTCGGATAAACAGTATTTCATTAACACCTAGTTGGGTTTGTGGTCTATGCGCCGACGATGAGGTTGATTCAGCTGTTCATGCTGAGCAGGCAGTAAATGGAAGGTTTTCACGCAGTGATTATCTAGTAAGTGTGGCACATGTATATCTGGTGCCCCCTTGTACCAATATTTATGTGTTCAAATAAATAAATAGTAAGTCGGAGATATGCGGAAGAACTTTGTTTTCACCTTTCATTAAATCGAAGAAAAAGATATTCGTTCAACGAATACTTCGCGAGAGCACAATTGTTTTAACAATATTTCATATAAATGCTCAAATTCCCTTCATTCCTTTTAAATTTTATTTATGATATATAACTTGCACATATTATATGCTCTAATTAGGATTTAATAGTTCCATATAATAAGCCATAAAGGAAAAACACTTTCGTAACCTAACTTTTCTCAAAAGGCCAGTTGTCACTAATAATGAATGTTTTCATCAGTGACGAGACATCATTTATAGTAGTAAACATAACATATAGGTTTCTCAGTCATTTAACCATAAATAACGTAAAAACTGCTTCAGTTCAAGTTTTTACAACGTATAAGCACAGTGAGATAAAATTACCAATATGAACACCAAAATAGGATAAGTATTGGTAGTATCGGTGGAAGGAAAGATTAATCTAATACAATGTGATTCCAGAAGGAATGAATTCGTGAGATAAAATGCACAGAGTGATTTCAAACTCAGGTTCTAAGAGGAAAATAAAGAGTGAGTACGTCTGCACCACTATGACCGATTCTAGGCCATATCACCGAACGTTTCAAACCACCAGTTACGATAACCTCACAGACCCCAACCGCATATTTTGATCAGCCTAGCTTTCAGTGACTTCATGTAATAATATACCATATTGATATGGTCATTCCTAGCTGCCTTCCAACATATTCCTGTACTAGTAAACATCGAAAGTAATTGTAAAAGGTAGTTGGGCATACATAGTATATGTTCCAACCATCCCAGTCAACGACAGTTCACAATCTCATTAACCGATTTGCTATTTTTATTGTGAGTCTAACTTCAGTATTGCTCACTCAGTGGTCCAAACATACACAAGAAGTGCTTCGAAGTCATCTGTGTTTAAGTACTGCTAATATCAACTTTTTTTAAGGACCATGTTTCATAGGCAAGTTCGTATCACAAATGTAACCTGAACCGTTTCGTTCACCAGTTACTAACATTACATTAGAAGGCTGATGGATCTGTACGAAGTTATTATCTTACATTTGATGAATGAGTTTTTTGTCTACCCTGGCTTCATACTTAATAGTAGCTTACCAAAAAAAACCATTAGATAAATCCGTCCCAAGATGTTTACAGTCTATCACTCATTGATAAGAGCTAATGATAAGACATCTATACATTCAACAATTTGAGTCGGCAGTTAGAATCAGTTGAATACCACTGCAAATGTTTGTAAATCAAGGCAATTTTGTATTGTTTTTAATCGTAGTACTTTATTTCTTAACTGTTCGTGTTTCTCATTTGAAAATCACTTTGATTGTTGATGTTGCTTAATCAATATTTAGTCAGATTAGTATTTTTGGAAATTATCGTTTCACTTTATAGGCAGGGTGTCGAATTTTAATGGGTTTGCTAGTTCACGAAGAGGCTGTTCATTTTACTGCATCGGTTTGTCCAGCATGTTCGGTTCCCCTACTATCTACTAGTCAATCTATGCCTCATTGTCCTGAAGGTCATCTTTATCATCGTCTTGCAGAACTTCGGTTATACTTAGAAGAAGCAGCTTCCACTCCAAATGGTCGTTCAGATACATATTCCAATCCTTATTCAGACAGTAATCAATGTCATTTCACTTGCCTCAGTGATTGGCTCATAGAGGTAGATAAATTTTGGTCAGATGCTGCTAAAGAAACTAATGTAAGTACCATTATAAAATAATAGAAAACATTAGTAATAGTTTGACAGAAATAATGCTAATTTTCAATACATAAAGGTTTTTGAAGAATTCCATTAGCATTACGAATTGTTGCAGGCTTTTCAAAATTGTGTAAATCTCTCCAAGGAATGTCAAGGTTATTGAAATGCTTGTTCGTAATTTTAAGTCATCACATGACGTATTATTATTGAATTGAAGTGTTAGTATATGTGAACAAGGTAACTAATGCTAAGGCTGTTAAAGTAACAGTTTTCAGATGGACAATCCCGTTTCCCGTCAATTTCCTAACCCTGATCGATGATTAATAAAAAGGCAAATTAGTACAGGGAAACTGAGAAAACTGTACTTCTGAATAGATAAAGGTAAGTTTGAACGCTTGCATTTATTCCACATCTCTTATATCTTGAGATAAGTGTCATTCCATGATTTACATTCTTCAGTCTCGTTAGTTCTTTCTGATCTGTAATTCTTATATTTAGCTTTCTATTAGAGTGGATGTTTCCTCAGCTCCCATATTTCTTATCTTATTACTTTCCTCTCTCGGTTTACTTCTATGAGGTGCCATAAATCAAACCAATACACATTCATATGAGACTATACTTGAACTCTGCCCGACTAACTTAGAGGTTTCATTCGTAAATGAGGCCCAGTTATTTTATTTTATTTTATTTGAACACATATATATTGGTACAGGAGTGCGCCAAATATATATGCACCACACAAAACAATGAGAATTTAAGAAGAAAAAGAAAAAAAGTGGGGAACGTGAAAAAATATTTTAAAAAAATAACGAAGAGATTGGTGTAAGGTAGTGTAATAATAATAGTAACAGTAGGGGGACAGAAGGGTACAATCAGAAGAAATCTTTCAGTTAAGCAAGATACAACCACGTTTTATGAAGAAAGTAAAAGAAGGTTACAGCATGATCGCCACTGGCTTCTATTCTGAGCCATATCTGATAACGTCTCTAGCCACTGTGTTGCACCATCTCTAGGACCCCAGCCAGGGAGTCGTGAAGGGCCAACACAAGCCAGCCCTTTGCAGCTTTCTTTCATGGCATGACACCATGTCATGCACTGACCACCTCTCCGCTTCTTCCAACCAGTCCCAGAGTCGGCAAATAATGCACGACGTGGAATTCTCTGGGACGACATTCGGAGAACATGTCCAAGCCACCGAAGTCGGTGTTTCAAGATGGTGACACCAATTGAGTTATCATCTCTGTGCCCAAACACACGATGCCGAACCTCTGCATTACTGACATGGTGTTGCCACTGAATGTCAGCAATCCTTCGGAGACAGTGATGATCGAACACAGAGAGTCGTCTAACGTCCTCAACTCGGAGAGGCCAGGTTTCACAAGCATAGAGCAAAACTGCTCTCACCGACGCGTTGTAGATCCGAGCTTTTACAGCCAGACTAACATCACGAAGGCGCCAAAGGTTGCCCAGATTGGCATAAGCCGCTCTGGCTTTCACTATTCGTGCATTGATCTCATCACTCACACCCCCACAAGCACTTATGCAGCTACCCAGATACACGAACTTCTCAACTACGTCTATCTGCTCACCTTCCAGCGTGAGTACAGGATTAGAATCCTGTCAGTCTTGTAGAAGTACTTTGCACTTCGAAGGTGCAAAGCACATACCATACCTACGGACACTGATTGCCAACTGATTAAGTGCGGATTGCATGGGTTGGGCATTATCGCACAGTAAGACAATATCATTTGCGTACTCAAGGTCGAGAAGTCTTTCTCCAGGCAGCAGATCTACAACGCCATTACTTACATTCATCAGAGCTGTTTCCAGAATGTCATCAATGGCAAATTTGAAGAGGAATGGTGAGATTGGACAACCCTGCCTAACCCCACTGCTCGAATGGAACAATGGAGAGAGGTGGTTGTATGCCCTCACTCTGCCTGAGGTGTTTGTATAGGGCTTTTAGGATGCTAATAAACTTCTCAGGCACACCCTTCTTCAATAGACAATCCCAGAGAACAGTCCTGTCCAACGAATCGAAGGCAGCCCTGATGTCAAGAAACACTACGATTGTTGGCCTTTGAAAAGTATGGCGGTGTTCTAACATTTGGTGGAGGGTGAAGATATGATCAATACATCCTCGGCCAGAACGAAACCCGGCCTGCTCCTCGTGAGTCAATCTTTCTCGGGTTTTGAACAACCTACGAAGAATGACGGAAGCCAATAACTTGGACGCAATCGGAAGTAAACTTATCCCCCGATAGCTGTTACAAGAACGACGTGAACCCTTTTTAAAGATAGGGACAACTATCGACTCATTCCATGACGTTGGTACACTCTCTAGTTCCCAAACCTTTGTAAACAACGTCGTCAATTCCTTAGTCAAAAAGTCACCACCATCTTTAAAAAGAGCCGAAGGTAAGTCATCTGGGCCAGGTGATTTGTAACGCTTCAAGAGTTGGAGTTCCTTGCGGACTTCCTCCTCGTTTGGTGGATCAGTCGTCACCGGCCATGGAGGGCAGGACAGTCTGACCGATGTTGCCGGAGCAGCAGGCCAGTTGAACTGCCCTTCGAAGAATTCTGCCCATCGTCCAAGACGTCGATGGATGTTAGTGATTGGCATCCCATCATCCTCGCAGATTGTTTCACTCACACCAGACTTCTTGCTGCCAGTGGCTCGGATGAGCTGGAAGAGCTTCCGGTAGTTACCAGATGCAGCTGCTGCTTCCAGCTCATTAGCACGCATCGACCACCAGGCTTCTCGGTCCTTACGCAAGCTTTGCCCAATTTCACAACGTAACATCCTTCGTTTATGGTCAAACTCACGATCACCCGGAGTAGACCGACGGGCTTCAATGAGTTGTAAGGAACCAGAAGAAACCCAGTGCTTAAAAGCGGGACGTTTCGCGAACCCACAACTGACTATACCCGCCATTTTCATGGCGTCATGCAATTGCAACCAATGCTCATCTATACTTTTCGGTGGAATGGTAGCCACCCTAGAAACTAGCTCGGTTCGATACTTACTTGCAACAGAAGTTGCAACCGATTTACTGACATCAATCCTTTGGTGACGATCACCCTGCTGGCCACTGAAAAGTAAGGTAAGATTGGCGCAGACCAAGGCATGGTCAGAGTCCAGATAGGTACTCCAAAAGGAGCGGCAGTCTTTAACACAACCACACCAGCGGTAGCTGATCGCAATGTGATCAATCTGAGTCCAGGCCTGAGATGCAGAGGGAGGACGCCAGGTGGCACATCGGCGATGACTGTGCCGAAAGTTAGTGCTAGCCAGAAACAGGTTGTGGTCTGTGCACAGTTGCAGTAGACGGTCCCCGTTATCTGACCTGCGACCAACGAGTCCCCATCGGCCACCTAAACGACCCTCTTCTGTGCCTAGACGCCCGACCTGAGCATTCAAGTCTCCGGCTGGTACTACAATATCTGTCGAACGCACTTTCTGGAGAAGGACTGATAACTGGTGGTAAAACTCATCCTTGATTGCATCCGGGCTGCAATCTGTCGGGGCATAGGCGGAGATGACGAAGAGACATCGTTTCCCACGCCAATTTCTTCTCACTTTGATGGAACTTTCTAATCTATCAGCACATAACCGACTGTTAATGAGGATCCAATCGACTAGTGCTGCCTCAGCTCTAGCGCTTCGTTCGGCAACAACGCCAACAAAACCAGACGAAGATGTCATAGGGTCTCCAGATAAACACACGTGAAATAAGCTTTTCGAAGCGACAGATGGAGAACGTATTTGTACTGCTTCTCTAGAGTCTTGAATACGAATCTCAGATAGACAACAGACATCGATATTAAGACTTTCTAAAGACATAGCCAGCTCTATCTGTTGTCCGACCTGCATAAATGTGCGAACGTTGAAGACAGCCAGTTTGAATGGTGCACGTGGTTTCAGAAATCTGCTTCAGTACTCATATTTATTGGTAACATACAATTTTCAACCGCACAGTGACTCGAGAACGTTTAGATAGAGTCGAATTTCCACCATAGACGAGCTGCTGTATAAGTCGAGAAAAATAAGTGTAGACAGAGTAGGAATAAAAGAGGGTGAATAATGACGTAGTAAATAATAATAATAATAATAATAATAATAATAATAATAATAATAATAATAATAATAATAATGATCGAATCATTTGAATGTTCGTCGAAGCAAAAGAATTAGTTTCCATGATCATAGACAGTTCAGTTCATTAATTGCGTGTGGGCTGCGATACTGCCCGGGTGCCCAGACCAAAGCAGGTGGTTATCTTAGGGGGCCACACCCCAAGCCTTTGTCCTAAAGGTCTAACCCACAAGGCAGTGGAGGATCGTAAGGAGATGCAGTCCCATGGTAGCCGGTGACCAACGATTGGTTCATACACCATTTGTTCCCTCAGGATACTGGTGCCCATGTGCACCATTGATTTGGAATCCGGTTAAAGCGCCGGACATTCGCTTTTCGTCCTCTCATTTTCGTAGACAACACCCCCGCCACGAGAAGGCAATGAGTAGGACTTCCCTGGCAGAGGCTGTATACGCGTGGCCGTGTGAGAGCAAGGGAGGGCGAACCCACCCCACTCTCGTCCATACCAGGGCATTTGGGGGCACCAAACGTTGTAAGTCCAAGAGTTTTGTATGAACTGTGACAAATTCTTGGGCATTGTTCAATCATTTCCTTGGGACAAATATCACAAAGTTGAAGAATATTGGCTAACATGAGTAAACTATATTCATTTATGCGGTCGATCACCACTTTAATTTAGATCGCTTCATCAAAAAAAGGTTTGATTTTATTTTTCATCGATTCAGGTGATTATGTTTTTGTTTATTTTAGATTCGTGGCTCCACTAAGGGGTGTCTACAAGCAGCACGTCGGCTTCGATCTCGTCTAAACTCACTTGTTCGTGAACATCGACCGGACTGTGAAGCTGTTTTATCGGGCAAAACAATAGCTAATGATTTGATCAGTGAACCACTTAGTAATAATCCATCTGTTGTAGATAACTATGTACCAGAGCCGTATGTATTGAATACATCTCCCGTTCCTGTGAAAAACGAAGTTGGTGAATAATAGTTCAGTAAAAGCATCAGCACTTGTATAACCCGGTTAACTAAGCAAGCAAGCAGTTCAATATACACTCCCTAGCATATGTACACTATATATATTTCATATTGTATTATCCCATTTTTGTATATGTACAAGTATGATTGTTTTTGCATATTCCTTACTTTGTTAAGCAAGTTATCTATAAGCTATTCTTTTTTTGTACACTATACTTGATATTGTATTTTAGTGTTACGTAATCTTTTTGTTACTTGACAATAACACTTTATCTCTTCATTTCCCAAAATGTATGGAAGCATTTATGTATTTATATATCTGTTGTTTCGTTGAATGCTCTATTTTGAATGATAGTTTTTTAAGGGGGATACATAACCAAGTGTGTAAATCGTCACCTGTTCCTCTTCTACTCTAAGGTATCCATAATCTGTTTCGCATATAAATATCTTAGTTGAGGACTTCTCATAATATTGTCAAGTCAGAGTCTGTGTAAAGCTATAATTAAAACAAATACAAATCAACCTTCAACAATTTATGTTTTAAACATTAGCGGTGACCCAACGTAATAAAATAGGAGTACATTGATAGTAATAAACAGATTAAAATATTTATGGACTCGCGTTTTTTATACGAAGTAGTTGTATCAAGATAGACCACACCAATGTTGGGCTGATTATAAATTTCAGTAGTTTAGAGTGAATCGCAATTGATTACGTGTCTAGTTATTAACATCACTAACAAGACACCTCAGCCGTTAACACCATAATTACTTTTAAGATGATTCATTTAAAAATGATACATTCTGAGATGTAAGTTGTGTTAGCTAGTGATCCGTTACACCAGTTTACGTCTAAAAACTACTTTATTTAGTGCAGTAATTATAATCACGATCGAATTTCTGATTTTATTGTCGGGAGTTTGATAAGTAGTCACATAATCGTTATCTCTACTTTATTGGTTTTTTGTTAAAAATTTTATTGAATATAGGGTTATATATAACCTAATATCGTTGATACAGAAGCAGTAACCCGTTGATAATTAACTGGTTTTTAGTAATTTTGCTGAAAAGCTCAAATTCTTGTTTAAGGTTTTGACTAACTGACATTACTCATAGAGTATATCAGGCTCTTTCGAAAGGCAGCATCGTGTGTAATATTCATTGAAATTTTTGACCTAAGCCAAGTGGGAAAATATCATTATTTTAACAGTAAGGGTGTCTGACTTTGCTTGACTGGTCGGTTTAGTGTCTGATTTTGCATGACAAAACCTGTTGTTATAAATATACCTTCATATTATGCTTATACGTTGGGTTCTGTATTGGACTTTTGTTGTTCTTTTTATTCATTCCCAAGTAATAAACCAAATGAGCTCGACTCACCGACCACGTACAGGCCGTACGCATAATTCAACGATTAACCAGGTTGCTGAAATAAACTCGATTTGAACAACACCCAGTCTGTTCACTTCATATTTAATGTCCCTGTCTAGGATTTACTTTATAACAGTACTTGGCGTTGAATGTATTTATTTTCCAGCAATGGAAACATTCTGATCACATAGGGAAGGATCCACAGGTATTAAATAAATTCTCAGTGTTTAACTGGTTTAACTATTTTGACTGTTGTAAATTATAATAGACAAGTAAGTTACCGATAGACCACTTTGTATCGTCGTTTGCTAAGTAATTCGTGATTACCATTATGGGAAATGGTTCTAGACTAAGAGACCAAAATCAAATTTCACAAATGGATAAACAGTAATTATTAACTATGTTTATTATTCTTACTCCGAGGTAGACCTATTCTCTTTGGTCGAGCCAATCGCAAATTCATAATAACCATTTGGTTGTTAAACGAGACAGTGCCATACCTTATTTTAAGCAAAACATTCGCGTAAATTATCGGAAAAATTTACTGTCTTCAGGACTAAACACTAACTAATTCGAGGCCAACTACAATATTTTGATAATGATTATGTAACTATCAAAACTACGGTACAAACCATCATGAATCATTGAGTTGGAATCTATTGCTCACTGTTTGAAACTTCATTCGATTTTTGATGTAGTTCAGTTATCAGCCAATAATACCGATGGTTAATAGTTTTACAATGACTGATGAGAAGTAGTTATTCTGTAGCGAAATTAATACACTAGTGGTGTATATTGATTTGTATGGATTTCGAAGATTTCTGTTGAGAATTTATCGCTGCTATATATATATATATATATATATATATATATATATATATATATATATATATATTACATTGCTTTTAGACTGGATATTTCTTTATAAATGATAAAGTAATCTTTATCAGGGAATTCTTAAGTGAAGATTTTCCTGTTGATTTTTGGAATATACTTTCAACTAATAAGGGACCTATATTTCATCCATAAGCATCATCCATTGATTATTCAGCTGGGGTCACTTAAGGCCAACCGGTTTTCGATAGTTTATTTTAATATGAATATTTACACAACTGTGTTATTCACTACATCAACTCATTCGATAAAGTAGCTTATCTTACATACACAAGTTAATGTACCCGGCTTTGAGCTACACTATTTGTGTATGAATTACCAATGAGTTTTAGACTTGAAGTCATATGTAAACCAGCTGAGTAATATAAAAATAAGGAAAATGTGATTTAAATTACTGTCATATTAGTTGATAGCTATAAAGTTATGTAGCTTCTCTGATCAGCTGATCTTACTAATGATACTAGTTATTTAGCTTTGACATTGATCATAAGTTAATTGGGAATGTCAATCTTGATGTATATCTGGGTATGTATGCAACTTGAAAAAGATGCATACAAAATTTACGTATTTTGTCTGATTAGGTTAACTCTGTTTCTTTTTTTAAGGATTCATTGTATATGAAATTCAAACTAGGCTATTGATATGAGGTATTTATATTTATTAATCTGAATTGGATACCAACTAACAACTATAAAAAGGCTAATTAACTTGAAAGTGCAAGAAATATGATTGTGCTGTTATAATTCTGCCACCTGTCTTCGTTTAGTGTTGTGTAGATTGTCTTTTTTATCATTGGCAATGATAAGTTGCGTGGCTGATTCCTAATAGTTTGGTACCTTCATAAGGATGTCCTTCGATACAGAACAGTGATAAGCTGTTCTAAAATTTCATGTACCGTTTAATCATAACTGATCCCTCCCACTGAAACAGATTGAGCTAAAGGTGAGTTTCGTTGCTAAACAGAAAGATTAAACTGTTACTAAGTACTGTGTCTCTGAGACTCTATACAAGAACTCAGTATGATATATTGGATAATAATATGTTTATCTCTGAAGATTCTCTGTTTGCATTCAAATCGGATAGCCGGCTTTATTCATTGGGAATCTACAATCTCGTACCACTAACATATGTCTCTAAAACTCGGAGTGAAGATCCGATTATGGACATTCACTTGACCACAGCTAATTAATAAAGAGAACCGGTGCGATTTAACCTCCATTCATCCGGCGAATTGCTGCTACTTCTCATAGCCTCGATAGCGTTGGTGTAGCACTAGGCTAAAGAGCAGAACAGACTCTCCTAATCTGTATTGTGGTATACAGTGTCTTGTGTTCTCCTCTACTAAAGGAAAAATTAAGTGTTATATCCGAATGAATAATAAATGAGTGGTAACTGATAGGAATTATTTATGAACTATTACATGTATTCTTATTGGATAACTATTAAGTACGTATATTATATGTATATTCATATTCCTTTTATTATAAGCTTCCATTCGATTTATTGACTACTATTATACGATTTACTGTTCTTAAGTTATTCCCAGTTACTTCCTTCATACTTACAGCCACTTTGGCTTGGTCTTGTATAATTGTTATTTTCTATTTCATGGTATGATGCAGTCTGAATTGCTTGTATATAAACTGCGTATGTCTGAAATATATGATTCGTACTGTGGGAGCTGAGAATGTGTTCTGGACTCAAACGGGCAGGGCTAGGAGAGAAGAAATAATAGGGACTCTAGGCTTCTCGTACTGGTTAACGCGTCACTGGTCTGGCACAATGCCAAGGTCATATAAGTCGGTGTTCTATTGGCGATTTTATCACGTGCTAATTAACAGGGCATAAGACCACAACAGTAAGGACGCAGAAGGAAAAATGCAGTCTTGTTTTTTTGTCGTCTCTACTTATGCTCCCACTAATGGCAATCCGGATGAAGAGTAAGGTGAGGTTTACAGGAAGCTTTCTGAATTTCTTCGAGACGTTAAACGCCCAAACTTAGCAATCGTAGCACGTGGTTTACATAACCAAACAAGAAATCTAAACCAAATCGAAAGGTTTATATGAGTCTTAAGGTGCCCCATATCAGCAAGCACATAACGACAATCATCCGCTCCAACTGTTCTCAAACAGGCATTTACTTCTACCAGGCACCAACTTTAGGCATAAGGCAATCCCCAGGATTAACTCGATGATGAACACAAATGGACCTTATCATCATTCATCATTGGAGAGGCTTCGTAGAAGACCCACATATTCTGGAGCAGATGTTTTAACTCTGATCATACTTCACTTAGGGCACGGGTTTGATAGCCGCCCGGGTTACGTTCCTAATGCTGGTTTGCAGGTAGAGCGTGGCATTTGAGAATAACGGATATTCGTAGGTTACTGGTATTAGACTTGTAGGACCAGGCAGGAAGATAGCTAGTGGAGGTCAAACGAAGAATTGGCACCAGTCCATGAAGTCATTGATAACTGGAGTGGAGTGTTAATAGGCGTAGACTACCTGGTTTGAGCTCACTCTTTTATCATAAATGATGGTTGAAAAATTAGGCTATTATGGTCCAGGTGTATTCACTCTTTGTCGTCCTTTAAAATTTCAGTCCTGAAGTATCCCTATACCGACTTATACTTTTTTGTGCCTAGTCTTTTTTTTACCATTTCTAATTTGCTTACTACTTTTAATACTGTAGTATTTTTCTTTATAAAATTATCTCACTGAGTTAATATATTGTCGAAACATGAACTGCTGCACAAATGTGCCCGATACTACGTTGTCTATGGTAGACAGACTGAGTGACTCACTGAGATCTTAATCCCAGCCTTGGAAGTGTTGTTATTGTGCTTTTTGATAGTGTACCATCTTCATTTAGTGTATTGCTAAACGCATATTCAAAGTTTTACTAACTACACATTTTCATTTTTTGCATGTATTGAGATCAATTGATAACATTCAATTCCCCTCATTCAATTACACGCTTACTTGTGTTCTTGGCTTGTTTCGTGTGACAGAGCAAAAAAAATCCCTGAATATACCTTTCGTTATAAAGAATTCAATTGTCGTTGGTGCGTTTGTGCCTGGCTTTAGAGATACTCGTAAGTCTAGGATTATCGTATGATACTCGGAATCAAATGCAAGTAGCATATTATCAGCTATAGGATCACCAGAAATATATTAAGGATTTAAATTATTTGACGATTATGACGACAGATCTCGTTTATCACAAGTTATTTGAATAAAGACATTTCTGACGAAATGATTTTCTTTTAGATGTATGGATTACTGGTGCGAATTTCATTGTCTTTCTTTGTGACTACATCATTTGAAATTGCCAGGATTTTCCGTCTTCTCGACATAAAATTTCTTCCTGATTGTGTACTAATTGTATTATCTGCAGAGACT